GCAAGCTTCACGTGCTCAACTTTGGCAGAGAACTTTGGCAAAGTTATCTGTGGTACCCATGAGCTATTGTTGCGTGTGGGAAGTGGGTGATTGAACAGTAAGATTCATGTGCTTTCTACTTCACCAGAAGTCTTCGACAGAATGCCCATAATTTCTGCAAAGCTGAGTGTGCGTGTGACAGGTGCTGACAAGGCTAGAAAAGTAGGTGCCTCTTCGATTTCTGAGATCGGCCCTCGTGGTCTCTGAGCAGCCCAGCTTTTGAGAAAGCGAGCGCCTCTTCGATTGATTCGGAGAACGATGCCTCATCGATTTTTGAGAAAGCAATCATGCTGGGGGTCTGGCTCTCGAAGATTCGGGGAGCAGTGTCTCTTCGATTTTTGAGAAAGTAATCATGTTGGGAGTCTGGCTCTCGAGATTCGGAGGGCGGGTGCCTCTTCGATTTTGGAGCAAGCAATCTTGTTGGGAGTGTTTTCTCGAATGTGAGTAAAGGTTGGGCATGTTTGCTAGTCTACCTTGCCACGAAGCACAGAGGTTGACACACAGGGACTTTCCAATTATCCAGCAATGGTACTGTTCCTTTACCCTCTCTTCGATTTTTAAGAAAGTAGTCATGTTGGGAGTCTGGCTCTCGAGATTCGGAGGACGGTGCCTCTTCGATTTTGGAGCAAGCAATCTTATTGGGAGTGTTTTCTCGAATGTGAGTAAAGGTTGGGCATGTTTGCTAGTCTACCTTGCCACGAAGCACAGAGGTTGACACACAGGGACTTTCCAATTATCCAGCAGTGGTACTGTTCCTTTACCCTTGTGGGTAATAATATGGTAGCTAGACCTTCAAAATTTATGGGTCTAAACTTTGTTAGTGCTGTTTCTTTGCTATTCTTTTACCCTTCTTGGTCAGAGCGATGTAGTGGGAGCTGCAAGCTTCACGTGCTCAACTTTGGCAGAGAACTTTGGCAAAGTTATCTGTGGTACCCATGAGCTATTGTTGCGTGTGGGAAGTGGGTGATTGAACAGTAAGATTCATGTGTTTTCTACTTCCCCAGAAGTCTTCGACAGAATGCCCATAATTTCCGCAAAGCTGAGTGTGCGTGTGACAGGTGCTGACAAGGCTGGAAAAGTAGGTGCCTCTTCGATTTCTGAGATCGGCCCTCGTGGTCTCTGGGGAGCCCAGCTTTTGAGAAAGCGAGCGCCTCTTCGATTTTCTGAGATCGGCCTTCGTGGTCTTTGAGCAGCCCAACTTTTGAGAAAGCAAACGCCTCTTCGATTTCTGAGATCAACCCTCGTGATCTCTAAGCAGCCCAGCTTTTGAGAAAGCAAACGCCTCTTCGATTTCTGAGCAGGCGCCTCTTCGATTTTCTGAAGCTCCGTCGAGTGCAGATTTTTATAGGGGCTGGCATTAAGTTCCAAAGCACACTTGAATCTCCACCAGTAGAAGCTTCATTCTTGCACTTCTAAGATCTTGATTTGTCCGACCTCTTCTCTCTTCAACACCTTTGAAAATGTCTGGCCCCTCCGACCGTCGTTTTGACTTGAACCTTGTTGAAGAGGCAGCCCCGCCTTCTCCAGACAACATATGGCGCCCATCCTTCGTCTCCCCTACTGGTCCTCTTACCGTTGGGGATTCCGTGATGAAGAATGATATGACCGCTGCGGTGGTGGCCAGGAACCTTCTCACTCCCAAAGATAACAGACTACTTTCCAAACGGTCTGATGAGTTAGCTGTTAAGGATTCGCTGGCTCTCAGTGTTCAGTGTGCAGGTTCTGTGTCTAATATGGCCCAACGCCTATTTGCTCGAACCCGCCAAGTTGAATCATTGGCGGCTGAAGTGATGAGTCTCAAACAGGAGATTAGAGGGCTCAAGCATGAGAATAAACAGTTGCACCGGCTCGCACATGACTATGCTACAAACATGAAGAGGAAGCTTGACCAGATGAAGGAAACTGATGGTCAGGTTTTACTTGATCATCAGAGATTTGTGGGTTTGTTCCAAAGGCATTTATTGCCTTCGTCTTCTGGGGCTGTACCGCGTAATGAAGCTCCAAATGATCAACCTCTGATGCCTCCTCCTTCTAGGGTTCTGTCCAGTACTGAGGCTCCAAATGATCCCCCTCCGGTGCCTTCTCTTTCTGGGGCTCTACCGACTGCTGAGACTTCTCCTAAGCAACCTTTGTGAAGGCTCCCTCTTGTGTGTTTATTTTGACTCATGTATATGTACATATTTGTAGCTTATCGGGGATATCAATAAATAAGCTTTCCTTCATTTCAACGTATTGTGTTAATACACCAAAGCCTTCTTCGCTAAGTTCTTTGAATTTTCTTTTGTTGAAGCTTGTATGTTGAAGCTTTCTGAGTGGAGCATGTAGGTTGGGGTAGTGTTCCCTTAATTTTCCGAGTGAGGAAAACTTCTCGGTTGGAGACTTGGAAAATCCAAGTCACTGAGTGGGATCGGCTATATGAATCTTAGAACGCCATTGTGCTCGATCCTGTGTCATGTCCTTCGTTAGATCCAAGTACTCTAAGTCTTTTCTTAGAGTCTCTTCCAAAGTTTTCCTAGGTCTTCCTCTACCCCTTCGGCCCTGAACCTCTGTCCCATAGTCGCATCTTCTAATCGGAGCGTCAGTAGGCCTTTCTTTGCACATGTCCAAACCACCGTAACCGATTTTCTCTCATCTTTCCTTCAATTTCGGCTACTCCTACTTTACCCCGGATATCCTCATTCCTAATCTTATCCTTTCTCGTGTGCCCACACATCCAACGAAGCATCCTCATCTCCGCTACACCCATTTTGTGTACGTGTTTGATGTTTCACCGCCCAACATTCTGTGCCATACAGCATCGCCGGCCTTATTGCCGTCCTTATAAAATTTTCCCTTGAGCTTCAGTGGCATACGGCGGTCACATAACACGCCGGATGCACTCTTCCACTTCATCCATCCAGCTTGTATTCTATGGTTGAGATCTCCATCTAATTCTCCGTTCTTTTGCAAGATAGATCCTAGGTAACGAAAACGGTCGCTCTTTAGTATTTCTTGATCTCCGATCCTCACCCCTAACTCGTTTTGGCCTCCATTTGCACTGAACTTGCACTCCATATATTCTGTCTTTGATCGGCTTAGGCGAAGACCTTTAGATTCCAACACTTCTCTCCAAAGGTTAAGCTTTGCATTTACCCCTTCCTGAGTTTCATCTATCAACACTATATCGTCTGCGAAAAGCATACACCAAGGAATATTAGTGGTGAATTGTATTCCAGTTTAATTAGGGGCAGAACAGGTAAACTTATTCTACGTTTCTTTCGTTTTTAGTTGAGCATTTATTGGTATTTTCCACAAATTTTTGGATTGTTTAAGTTTGACTTTCCCACTTAGTGGGAAAAGGCTTTGTTGTTGTTGTTGTTGTTGTTGTTGTTTAAGTTTGACTTTGATGATTGTGGCGTTTCAGATAAAGGTATATCCCAAACCTAATAATTTTGTTTGGTTGTTTCTTCCTTTTTCACTTCTCTTTTTTTGATTTCCTGTTTATATATTCTGTATTTTCTCATGACAGTTTTGAACCTTTTCTTTTCTGAATTTGTATGCTTTATGGGTCATCATTTAATCTGCTTAATTATCATCGTGATCAACTAAGATATCACTTTTTCAAACACTATAGACTTTGAGTTATTGGTTGAATTATGAATTGAGAAGTGGACAATGCCATTAAAAATTGCTAGGAGTAGGAGGATGTTCTTGGCACACTATAAGAAGTTTTCTTTTTCTTTTTGGCAAGTTCATATTCATAATTCCGTTATCAGTGCATTTACTTTCCCATGATTTCTCATAAATTGGACGTGAATGTATTTATAGATTTTTATTTTTTTAGCCAGACAGAGGATTTGATTGAGCAACAGGTGCATCAACCATATATTATTACTACAACTGTACGACGCCTCAGCGTTACAAGGTTTTGAAATTACCTCTCTCTTTTTTGGTTTTTGACAGATTATATGAGATTTTATTGCTGTTAGTTTAATGAAGTTCTCGATTCATCACCATATATTTTTTTCAACTTCTACCATTTGGTTTCTGTTGACTTTAACTCTGAGTTGTGGTGTTTGTGTTTTCTAAATTTCTTCCAACAGCTTAGTTTTAGTTTGATTTTGTTTGCATATATCTCTTCAGAGCAATTCTTGGAGTTGCAATCCTACCAGCCACGAAAAGGAAAGTTATTGAGAAAATCTGGAGCGAAGGACCTCCTAAATTATTATGGCCACCAGAAGCTGTAAGTCCTTTTTTAGATCATTCAACAGGGAGATGGTAATCTCCATGACAACTGCTCCAAAAGCAATAGCTCATTTTCCCCCGGATTGACCAAAATATCAACTTCAAAGCAAGTTTTGTCGGGTGTAATGACATTTGTAGGGCAACAAACATTTAACTAATCAGATTTAATTTAGGGCAATTTTGGATTTGCTTTCATTTGTTTTGATTTGTAATTTTATAAGCAATTTTGAGTTTGTGTGAAAAATAATATTGTTTTTATTCTCTCTCTCTCTCTCTCTCTCTCTCTCTCTCTCTATCTCTCTATCTCTCTCATATGTTTTTGGGGAGTTTGAGTCCTAAAGTGTGTTTCTGTTTCTGGGTTTTGAGTGTTTTGTTGTTTTCTAAAAGTGGCAATCAGTGTTGTGTATTTTATGCATGATAAAACTTAGTGTAGTACTGTGGTGTTCATTTTTGGTTAAAAGTTAAAAGAGTCTCTTCTTAAGATTTTGGTCGATTCATATCCCACTTAGACCAATCTTCAGCGTATACTATCAAGAAACATGTTATCACATGACTGAAATCATCTATTTACATTGATAAACATTCAATTACGACATGATTGATATGGATATATAGACCCAATAGCTTTAGCTATATGTTATAGTTTTACACATAAATTGAATATATCAATTTGAAATCTTTCAACCATGTCATTCAACAGATACCATAAACTGCCATACTTTTATGAACTCTGTAGAAAAGGAATTTATATGCAACATGATCTGAATGACTACATAAACTGCTTATAAAATATCTTTTCAAATATATAAGGAGAAAGAGTGATGGTTCTCAACGCGTCTTTATTGTTGCCCAAGTTTTTGCTAATTTTGAAAGCTATGAATTGCTAATGGGCTTACTCTTTTTTTGTGTGGAATTTTCAGAATTTTGGGTCGTCGGAGGAAGAACTTAGTTGCTTGACATTTTGAGGTATGTACTTTGCTTTACTTTTGTTTTAGTTTCTTCAATTAGATACAGTTAATTCACACCAATGCTTTTGTTTCTGTTGGGTTTTTGAGTTTAAACTTTATCCGGAATCATTTGGTGGGTGTTTGGAACTTTGGAATCAGATTTTCAATTGGTTTTGTGAAGTCCTAACTTTTAATTTCATTTGGGTCTGACGTTGAGTTTAAAACTTTATCTGGAATCATTTGGTGGGTGTTTGTAACTTTGGAATTAGATTTTTAATTGGTTTTGTGAAGTCCTAAGTTTTATTTTCATTTGGATCTGACCTTTTAGCTATCATTGAAAATAATCATAAAAAGTAAAGTTGTGCATTCCTTAATTCAGTCTTTGGCAAGCCATCATGCATGATAACCAAGTAACTGGTTTTTAGTAAATGTTGATTTTGGAAAATTCTTTGTTTAAATTTCTAGTTTCTGATGAATTCTTCATTTAGAGTTGGTGGCCAACAATCGACCCACCACAAATTTTAGATCAAGATTTGAGCATGCCTTAAAAGTGTAAGTCATTTTTCCATTCTCTTTTGTTGATTTTGTCATCTGGGTTTCTAAGAAAGCTTGCACCTCGGTTCGTTTCTGACTAGGATGTTACCTTTTTATCTGTATTGTTTGGAAGATTTCAGAAAGCTTGCATTCAAGTTTGGCTCTTTGAGTAGGACTTCAGGATTGAAGGCTGAATTATTGTAAGTCTGTTTTCTTTTTCTTTTGTTTTTGCAAACGAAATTTGAATTATGTTCAACAACTATGGATTATAGTTATTTTGTTGATGTTGTTACACTACTCATGATTACTAATCTTGTACCCAATCGTCTTTAATACATTTTGCAAAATGACATTTGTGGAATAATTTCTCAAAACTCATTTGTTATTTGTCCTTTATGCTTCCACGACTTCACAACTTTATAGGCGACCTTGCTATCCCACAGTTGAATCTGATTAATTTGTCAAAAAATTTCCAAGTTATGAAGTTTACGTATTCTGGAACTCAGTTATATATATATATCTATATATCATTCCATAACTTAATGCATGTAGATAGAAAAAAATTTACCATCTTTTGATGTGGATTGTATCGTAAAATCTTTTGTATGTAAAACTTTTTCCAACGTTTTCAATGTAAATAGTATTAATCTTCAATCACACAATCTATTATATATTTCAAAGATAATCTTTCTTACAATTTCAAATCACGTAGCAACACGCGGGTAAAAATTTCTAGTACAAACGAAAGTTGTTTCTCCTATTAAAATATCTCTGTTGAAATATATTATAAATGAAGTGGGCAGGTTGTTTCTCCTATGAAAATATGTCCATTGTTTCTCCTATGAATAGCTGTAATCACAGCCAAGAATCATTTGGATAGTCTTTTCTCCTTTCATTCGTCTTTTCCTCTCTCTTTCTCTGCACTTTCCGGCCAACATTATGTCGTTTCTCAAGTCCATACACCAACATTATTATATTAAAACTTTGTTCTTGTTGACTGAAGGAGCTTGACTTGGGTTTAGGTATTTCAGGATCATCCGTTCGACAGCACGAGCACAACTACTGCCATTTTTCAGTCGTGATCTGAACCACTGCAGCGCCATAATGGTGGATACCGCCATGACGACCCACGAAGCCTCCTCTTCATCGTCCTCCAAGTCAAAACTTTGGAATTACGACGTGTTCTTGAGCTTCAGCGGTGTAGACACACGCAATGGTTTCACGGGCCACCTCCACAGGGCATTAACGGACAGGGGATACCAGGCTTATATTGATGAGGACGATCTAAAAAGAGGGGAAGAAATACAAAAAGAACTGTTCCAGGCAATCGAAGAATCGAAGATCTCTATCATTGTCTTCTCAAAGAGGTATGCGAGTTCGAGTTGGTGTCTTAATGAGCTGATGAAGATCATCGAGTGCAGAGACAAACTGGAGCGCCATGTTTTGCCAATATTCTATCACGTTGATCCTTCACATGTCAGGAACCAGAATGGAGTTTTAGCCCAAGCATTTAAGAAACACAAAAAGAACATTCGTAAAGAAAAAGATGACAAGAAACGTGAAGAAAAACAAGAAAGGGTAAAGCAGTGGAGAAATGCTCTTAGAGAAGCTGCAAATTTGTCTGGCTACCATCTTCAAATCACTGATAATAGGTAATCATTCACGTGCTTTTCAATATCTAAGTTGCATTACTCTAATTAACATGCTTAATTAATACGCCTTAAATCTCATATCAAATCTAGAGGAAAATTGTAGCTTTGGTTCCTAAACTAAAATTTCATTATATTTTGTCCTTGAACTTGATAAAATATGGAGCGTTAGTCCTTCGTAACCAATTCCTTTCAGTTTTAGTTAAAAGTGTTTACAACTTTACATGTTAGTTTCACCTATATTATATATACATACATATATATACATATATACATACATACATATATATATACATACATACATACATACATACATACATACATATATATATATAATTGCAGGCCTACCTCATCCCACCAACACTCGCAGGCTCGCAGCCCACCCCTTCACCTTCAATCGTTGATTCCCACCCCGTCAACCTCCCACTTCCAACCCCCAATCCCTAATCCCCACTCCCCAGCCGACCCCAACCTTTAGCCCACGGACCACAGCCTTCACCCGAACCCCGAACCCGCATCCCACAAATTTCTTGAATCTTACCTTTCGAGACAGCGTAGATGAATGTCATTGTGAAGTCGTTTGCAAGGTGAGGTGTGTTCCAAATTTGGATGAGGAACTTTTCTTTTGTTTTGGCTGTTGGGAAAGTGCTACAATGGTGTGGCTGGGGTTTGGAGAAGGTGAGGCGGAAGGGAGGATGGGAGAGAGTTAACTTTTATAATTTAAAGTATTTTTTTTTCTCTTTGTTTCTCAATGCTTGTATTTATTTTCTTTTATTTGAATTTTCAAGCAACGTGGCATCTAATAAACAAAAATATGGAGCCCACAAAGACGACGTTATCAAATTAACAGAAAATCTTACGGTGTTAACATGGAGGGACCAATGTTCCATATTTTGTTAAGTTCAGGGACGAGATTTAATGAATTTTTAGTTTAAGAACCAAAGCTACAATTCGATCATAGTTCATGGACCATTTCTCCAATTTCTTCTAAAATCTAAACCATAATGAGTTTAATTGATACACCAAACTTTAATATATCAGTGAATGAATTTGTTTCTTTTATTGAAGTTGATCACAAACTCACATACTAGCTAGTAGCTAGTTAGTGTGTATACACACACACACACACACACACACACACACACACACGAAGGAAAGAAAATTGTTTGTGTACTAATAGCTCCTACTGAGCTTACTAAGCTTGCCAATTCAATTTTCAGTTGCGAAGCACAGCGTATTAGAGAAATTGTTGACAAGATTATTCCGGAATGGCTTCGGAGAGCAAACAAATTACATGTGGCCAATCACCTGGTTGGAATCAATTCTCGCGTTCAAGATATTATCAGTTATCTTTCAAGTGGTGGATCAGATGATGTTCGCATGGTTGGAATTTGGGGGGATGGGTGGATTGGGTAAAACAACAGCTGCCAAAGCCATTTATAACAAAATTCATCATGAGTTCCAATTCAAAAGTTTCCTTGACAACGTTAGTGAAAAAGATCTGGTTGTTTCGCAAAAAAAACTTGTTTCTGACATCTTGAAACAGACCAAGCCTGAGATAACCAGTGTTGATGAAGGTATCGGCCTGATAAAATATCATCTCCAACGTAGAAGCGTACTTGTCATTATTGACAATGTAGACAAAATGAAACAACTAAATGCAATAGCTGGAAATTGTGATTGGTTTGGCTTAGGAAGTAGAATTATCATAACGACACGAGATGAACATTTACTACGCCAAGTTGGAGTGGACAAGATATATCCGCTTCATAAAATGAATGAAGAAGAAGCTCTGGAGCTCTTTAGTTGGCATGCCTTTAGAAATTGTTGGCCTAATGAAGGATATCTTGAACTCTCAAGGAAGATCGTTTCTTACTGTGGAGGTTTGCCACTAGCACTTGAAGTTTTAGGCACTTTTTTAATTGGAAGAACCATAGCAGAGTGGGAAAATCAATTGGTAAAATTGAAAACAACTCCTGAAGGAGAAATAATACAACGACTAAGAATAAGCTTTGAAGGGCTAGATGATAAACAGAAGGCTATATTCCTTGACATATCTTGTTTCTTCATTGGATGGGATAATGACTATGTCACAAAAATATTAGATGGATGTGACTTTTTTGCGACAATAGGAATGAGTGTCCTTCGTGAATGATGCCTTATAACTGTTGAAGACAACAAGTTGAATATACATGATTTGCTTCGAGAAATGGCCAAATTAATCATTTCTGAAAAATCCCCTCGTCACCCTGGAGAATGGAGTAGGTTGTGGAACCAGCAGGAGGTCACTGATGTATTGAGAGATAAATCTGTAAGTACATTCCCTATAAAATTTTGTATTAATGCATCGTACAAGAAAAGCAAATATGTAACCCACGTATAGCTGTCATACATTAAAAACATTTATGTGTAAATATATGTATTCAGAGGTCGCACTTGGTGCGATGGCAAGTGCCTTCGCCCATGAGCGGTAGGTCTCGGGTTCGAGACTTGGGAGCAGCCTCTCCATAAATGGGGGTAAGGCTAGCCGACATTCACCTCTCCCAGACCCTGCGTAAAGCGGGAGCCTTGTGCACTGGGTACGACCTTTATGTGTAAATATATGTATTCGCATTAAGAAGCTCAATTAGCAAAATCACGTAAAATAGATGCACATAATCCTTTTCTTACCCAGTATAATGTGTTGTTAACAGGGAACTAAAGAAGTTGAAGGACTTGTTGTAGGTTTCCCTGATCTTCTGTCTCCAAGTATCAGTACAGAAGCATTTGCCAATATGAAGAAACTGAGACTGCTCCAGCTCTACAACGTGCAACTCAATGGAGAATACAAACATCTCCCCAAAGAGTTAATATGGTTGTGTTGGAATGAATGCCCTTTAAAGTCCATACCAGATGACTTCTTTGATCAACCAAGACTAGTTATTTTAGAGATAAAGTATAGCAAACTGGTACAAGTTTGGGAGGGCTCGAAGGTACAATCGATTACACATGATGATGTTAAGTTTCTATTTGTTTTTGGATTTCCTTCTCTCTTTATTTATTTATTTTATGAGATATTCCTTTTGGATATTAATTTTAATTTTTCTTGGATTTTGTGCAACAGTCGCTTAAAAACTTGAAAATCCTTGATTTCAGTGGTTGCTCTGACTTAGAAAAATCACCAGACTTATCAAATCTCCCAAGTCTTGAAGAGTTGATATTGGAATGGTGTGAGAGTTTGTCCGAGATTCACCCCTCCATTGGTCATCTTAAAAAACTTTCTTTGGTGAACCTCACAGGCTGCAAGAATCTTATTTCTCTTCCTGGGGATTTCTACAGGTCCAAATCCGTTCAGACTCTTGTTCTTGATTTTTTGTGGGCAATTCAGTGAACTGTCCGAGGATTTAGGGAATATGATATCATTGAGAGTACTTAAAGCATATGAGACAGCCATAAGACAAGTACCGCGTTCCACAGTAAGATTGAAGAATCTCACTCATTTATCTCTAGGATTGACGAATCTCACTCATTTGCAATTTCCCGATTCGTTACTCAGCTTAGACTTTTTAAGAAATTTAGATCTCTCATCTAATGATTTTCATACCCTACCCAGCCTCAGTGGTCTTTCAAAGCTTGAAAATTTGTGGTTAGGTTACTGCCATAACCTTCATACAATCTATGGTTTACCAACAAATTTGAAATTTCTGGATGCGTCTCGTTGCTATCGTTTGATAACAATGCCAAATTTTTCGAAAATGTCGAATATAAGAGAGCTAAATGTACGTGATTCACATGCACTCACTGAGGTTCCAGACTTGGATAAGTCATTAAACTCCATGACATGGATTGATATGACGTATTGCGCCGAACTCACCGCTGATTTTATGAGGAAAGTCCTAAAGGTATCTCTCTCTTTAATTGTCTTCCTATTGGGCACATGCACACACACAACGCACATGTACATGTATATATATATGACACTTGCACTGTGTATATAGGGATGGACTTCTTGCGGATATGGTGGCATTTTTCTCAATGGGAATTATGTTCCTGATTGGTTCGAGTTTGTCAACGATGGTAATAAAATCACTTTTGATATCCCCCCGAGTGATGGTTGTAATTTTGAAGGGCTGACTCTGTTATGCTTTTATTGCTCAAGTCCTTCTCAGTTCGGCCCTTATATCAGATGTAAAGATAGTCATCCTCTTGCCAGGATTGATATAAATAATACCAAGCGTACTGAGTTGCGGACCTGCATAAGCAAGGAAGATTGGGTTATAAAAATGCGCGATTGTTACGCCAAAAAAAGAAAAAACCTCATGCGCGATGTTGTATATAAAGAATGTTTTCTTTGGCAGGGACAAATATCGAACGATAAGCTCAATTTGCAAAGCGGGGATACAGTTGATATAACTTTTGAAATGCCAGAGCCATACGTTACATTAGATAATGTGACAATTAAGGGAACAGGGGTTAATCTAGTATGGGACAAACCTATGAAGGAAAATGAGCACGATTTTGATGGTGATGGTGGGTTTTTGATCCAGAGGCACAACCAAGGTGGTGATGCATCGTCATCATCACATGTTTGAGTCAGATCACAATCAATAAATTTCAACTTTTTCGATTTTTGAGTCACTCTCATAAGAGGGACGAGCGACCCAAATTCTGAGCAAATCCCCTCGCCTTCTCCGCACCTTTGGCGTCGCCGTCATCACCCTCGGTCGCCCCCCGAGCTCTCAACGCCATAAACCTAGGTATGTAGATAAACACACAAACGCATATGTATACATGTGTATATCTGTAATTGCTTTTGATTTGGAGATGATTTGAATTTTTGAGCTTGAACTTTATGGCATCGTATTGATTACAAGTCTATGTTATTGCATTTGTTATAAGACGAAACGTTAGATTCAAATTTCGAAGAAGTTAGCTCTTTTTGGAAGAATTTTGTGTTTCTGTTTAAGTGGGAATTGTTGGAAAATGCAGATTTGGATGTGAAATACAAGAGCTATCTGGATGAATGGGAATCTGACCCAAATGTGAAGTGTGTTCTTGTTGATAGCCGCTCGGCTCGTGCCTTTTGTGGCAGTAACGCCCAGAACTCGTATTTGAATAGTTTCTTATCTTTCCTGGCAATTTTACACTTCCATTTTAGCATGTAGTTGAATAAGTTTTTCTAGATATGTATGTTCAGCTCTTTTGGCAGTTATTTTGGTTTTTGGGTCTCTTAGGTAAGGTTTTGAGAGTGACCAATCATGGTAAATGCAGGTAAGGATATTAAAGTTGTTGTTGCCGAAATTCAAAAGGACAAAAAAGAAAAAAAAAGAACAAGGCACTGCCTAAAGATGAGACATCTAACAGACGAGTTTCTGTTGTGAACCTATTGTAGTCATTTGGTCTTGCAGTTTTAGTTATCAATTCAATTCCTCCATTGCTAATATTACTGTCTCCATTAAGCGTCTTCATTGAATATTTCTACTAAATTTTTCAGGCTGAAGAGGATGACGAGAATATTAGTGGTGAATTGTATTCCAGTTTAATTAGGGGGAGAACATGTAAACTTATTCTACGTTTTCTTTCGTTTTTAGTTAAGCATTTATTGTTATTTTCCACAAATTTTTGGATTGTTTATGTTTGACTTTGATGATTGTGGCGTTTCGGATAAAGGTATATCACAAACCTAATAATTTTGTTTGGTTTTTTCTTCCTTTTCGCTTCTCTTCTTTTGATTTCCCGTTTATATATTCTGTGTTTTCTTATGGCAGTTTTGAACCTTTTCTTTTCTGAATTTGTATGCTTTATGGGTCGTCATTTAATCTGCTTAATTATCATCGTGATCAACTAAGATATCACTTTTTCATACACTATAGACTTTGAGTTACTGGTTGAATTATGAATTGAGAAGTGGATAATGCCATAAAAAATTTGCTAGGAGTAGGAGGATGTTCTTGGCACACTATAAGAAGTTTTCTTTTTCTTTTTGGCAAGTTCTTCATATTCATGATTCCGTTATCAGTGCATTTGCTTTCCCATGATTTCTCATAAATTGGACGTGAATGTATTTATAGATTTTTATTTTTTTAGCCAGACAAAGGATTTGATTGAGCAACAGGTGCATCAACCATATATTATTACTACAACTGTACGAGGCCTTAGCGTTACAAGGTCTTGAAATTACCTCTCTCTCTCTTTTGGTTTTAGACAGATTATATGAGATTTTATTGCTGTTAGTTTGATGAAGTTCTCGATTCATGACCATATATTTTTTCAACTTCTCCCATTTGGTTTCTATTGACTTTAACTCTGAGTTGTAGTGGTGTTTGTGTTTTCCAAATTTGTTCCAATAGCTTAGTTTTAGGTTGATTTTGTTTGTATATATCTCTTCAGAGCAATTCTTGGAGTTGCAATCTTACCAGCTACGAAAAGCAAAGTTATTGAGAAAATCTGGAGAGAAGGGCCTCCTAAATTATTGTGGCCACCAGAAGATGTAAGTAATTTTTTAGATCATTCAACATGGAGATGGGATTCTCCATGACAACTGCTCCAAAAGAAATAACTCCTTTTCCCCTGGATTGACCAAAATATCAACTTCAAAGCAATTGTCAGGTGTAATGACATTTGAAGGGCAACAAACATTTAACTAAACAGATTTAATTTAGGGCAATTTTGGATTTGCATTCATTTGTTTTGATTTGTAATTTTATAAGCAATTTTGAGTTTGTGAAAAATAATATTTTTTTTTATTCTCTCTCCTCATGCACTCTCTTTCTTATGTTTTTGAGGAGTTTGAGTCCTAAGTGTGTTTCTGTTTCTGGGTTTTGAGTGTTTTGTTGTTTTCGTCTGGTAAAGTATTGTTCTTGCTCTAAAAGTGGCTATCAGTGTTGTATATTTTGTGCATGATAAAACTTATGAGTGTAGTATTGTGGTGCTCATTTTTTGGTTAAAAGTTAAAAGAGTCTCTTACTAAGATTTTGGTCGATTTTTATCCAACTTAGACCAAACTTCAGCGTATACTAACAAGAAACATGTTATCACATGACTGAAATCATCTATTTACATCGATAAACATTTAATTACAACATGATTGATATGGATATATAGACCAAATAGCTTTAGGTATATGTTATAGTTTTACACATAAAAATTGAATGTATCAATTTTAAATCTTTCAACCATGTTGTTCAACAGATGCCATAAACTGCCATATAATTTTGAACTCTGTGGAAAAGGAATTTAACTGCAACATGATCAGAATGACTACATAAACTGCTTATAAAATATATTTTCAAATACACAAGGAGAAAGAGTGATGGTTCTCAACGTGTCTTTATTGTTGCCCAAGTTTTTGTTAATTTTGAAAGCTATGAATTGCTTACGGATTTACCCTTTTTGTGTGGAATTTTCAGAGTTTTGGGTTGTCGGAGGAAGAACTTAGTTGGTTGATATTTTGAGGTATATACTTTGCTTTATTTTTGTTTTAGTTTCTTCAATTAGATACAATTAAGTCACACCAATTGGTGGGTGTTTGGAACTTTGGGTTTTTGTTTCTGTTGGGTTTTTGAGTTTAAACTTTATCCAGAATCATTTGGTGGGTGTTTGGAACTTTGGAATCAGATTTTCAATTGGTTTTGTGAAGTCCTAACTTTTAATTTCATTTGGGTCTGACTTTGAGTTTAAAACTTTATCTGGAATCATTTGGTTGGTGTTTGTAACTTTGGAATTAGATTTTTAATTGGTTTTGTGAAGTCCTAACTTTTATTTTCATTTGAATCTGACCTTTTAGCTGTCATTGAAAATATCATAAAGGTAAAGTTGTGCATTCCTTAATTTAGTCTTTGGCAAGCCATCATGCATGATAACCAAGTAACTGGTTTTTAGTAAATGTTGATTTTGGAAAATTCTTTGTTAAATTTCTAGGTTCTGATGAATTCTTCATTTAGAGTTGGTGACCAACAATCGACCCACCACCAATTTTAGATCACGATTCGAGCATGCCTTAAAAGTGTAAGTCATTTTTTCATTCTATTTTGTTGATTTTTTCATCTGAGTTTCTAAGAAAGCTCGCACCTTGGTTCATTTCTGACTAGGGTGTTACCTTTTTATCTGTATTGTTTGGAAGATTTCAGAAAGCTTGCATTCAAGTTTGGATCTTTGAGTAGGACTTTAGGATTAAAGGCTGAATTATTGTAAGTATGTTTTCTTTCTTTTTCTTTTGTTTTTGCAAACGAAATTTGAATTATGTTCAACTATGGTTTATAGTTATTTTGTTGATGTTGTTACACTACTTATGATTACTAATCTTGTACCAATCGTCTTTAATACATTTGCATTTTGCAAAATGACTTTTGTGGAATAATTTCTCAAAACTCATTTGTTATTTGTCCTTTATGCTTCCACGACTTCACAACTTTATAGGCGACCTTTCTATCCCACAGTTGAATCTGATTAATTTGTCAAAAAAATTCGAAATTATGAAATTTACGTATTCTGGAACTTAGTTATATATATATCATTCCATAACATAATGCATGTAGATAGAAAAAAATTTACCATCTTTTGTATGTGGATTGTATTGTAAAATCTTTTGTATGTAAAACTTTTCCCAACGTTTTCAGTGTAAATAGTATTAATCTTCAATCACACAATCTATTATATATTTCAAAGATAATCTTTTATACAATTTCAAATCCTGTAGCAACGTGTGGGTAAAAATTTCTAGTAAAAACTAAAGTTGTTTCTCCTAGGGCTGGGCATGGGCCGGGCCGGGCCCAGGGCCGGGCCCAATTTTGAAGGGACCGGCCGGACCCAGGTTTAAAAGAAACAGGTCGGGCAGGGGCGGGTACAACTAATTTTAACACAGAAACCTGACCTAACCCGGCCCGGGTCCACGGGTTATTTTTTTTTTTCTTCTCTTCTTCTTCTTCGTCGACAGAGTCAAGAGCGCTCGGAATCGGTTGAGTCGCACCAGATTGGGCAGTCACCAGCCGAATTTGAAGCCTCGTGACTCGTGTGGTGGCTGATTTGATGTCGACGCAGTCGATTCGAGGGGTGGGAGGGAGAAAGAGAACCCTAAAGTTCTCTAAATCTGGGATGCCATCGAGGACTCGAGGAAGACAATCGAGGTTGCTGGCTCGTCGTGGTGGTCGCCAGGGCCCAGACTCGCGACGGGGTTGATGTCGGGGTGGTGGAGGAGGTGACTGACGGAGAGTGACGGAGAGTGACAGAGTGTAGTGGAAGAACCGTGGAGGGAATGACGCACGCGGGAGAGAAACGATCGAGGACTTGAGTGATAGACATAGGGGAGACCTAGGGTGAAACTAACGGTTAATAGCGTCTGCGATGGTGATGGTCGCCACGGCGGTGATGGGTGACGATGGTGGTGAATCGGTGGTTCTGTGTTCGGTGATGCCGACGAGGAGAGAGAGTAGTGGGATTTGGGGATCGATCCAGGAGAGATAGGAGTCGGATCATAGTTTCTAGAGTATTCGAGCAGTAAGCCCACATGGGCCATTGCCTTGTGTAGTAAGCCCACAACATATTGTCCAGGTTCCAATCAGTCCATTTTAGGAACGGGTCGGCCCGGGGCCCCATGCTTGTACAAATTTGAACTCGACCCGCCCCATAAATACCACCTCCCCGCCCCCACCCCGTTTCTTCTTTAAAAAAATAAGACCCGGCCTGTACCCGCCCTGAACCGCCATTACCCGCCCCGACCTGCGGTTCCTGGACCCGTTTGCCCACCCCTAGTTTCTCCTATTAAAATATGTCTGTTGAAATGTATTATATATGAAGATGGGCAAGTTGTTTCTCCTATGAAAATATGTACGTTGTTTCTCCTATGAATAGCTGTAATCACAGCCAAGAATCATTTGGATAGTCTTTCTCCTTTTGTTCCTCTTTTCCTCTCTCTTTCTCTGCACTTTCCGGCCAACATTATGTCGTTTCTCAAGTCCATACACCAACATTATTATATTAAAACTTTATTCTTGTTGACTGAAGGAGCTTGACTTGGGTTTTAGGTATTTCAGGATCATTCGTTCGACAGCATGAGCACAACTACTGCCATTTTTCAGTCGTGATCTGAACCACTGCAGTGCCATAACGGTGGATACCGCCATGACGACCCACGAAGCCTCCTCTTCATCGTCCTCCAAGTCAAAACTTTGGAATTACGACATGTTCTTGAGATTCAGCGGTGTAGACACACGCAATGGTTTCACGGGCCACCTCCATGCGGCATTAACTGACAGGGGATACCAGGCTTATATCGATGAGGACGATCTAGAAAGAGGGGAAGAAATAAAAGAGGAACTGGTCCGGGCAATCAAAGAGGCGAGGATCTCTATCATTGTCTTCTCAAAGAGTTATGCGGACTCGAGTTGGTGTCTTGACGAGCTGGTGAAGATCATGGAGTGCAGATACAAACTGGGGCGACGTGTTTTGCCAATATTCTATCATGTTGATCCTTCACATTAGGAAGCAGAACGGAGATTTAGCTCAAGCATTTCAGAAGCACGAAGAGGGCATCCATGAAGAAAAAGATGACAAGGAACGTGAAGCTAAACAAGAAAGGGTAAAGCAATGGAGAAAGGCTCTTACAGAAGCTGCAAATTTGTTTGGCCAACATCTTCAAATCACTAACAATGGGTAATCATTCACCTGCTTTTCAAGTTTTGAAACATTTTAGTGAATGAATTTCTTTCTTTTATGAAGTAAAGACAATTGTCTATGTACTGATAGCTCCTACTGTTCATTGAGTCCCACTAACGCTTACGAATTCAATTTTCAGGCGCGAAGCAAAGCTTATTAGAGAAATTGTTGACAAGATTATCCCGGAATGGCTTCCGAGCGCAGAAAAATTACATGTGGCCAAGCACCCAGTTGGAATATATACCCGCATTCAAGATATCATCACTTATCTTTCAAATGGTGGATCAGATGTACGCATGGTTGGAATTTGGGGGATGGGTGGATTGGGTAAAACAACAGCTGCCAAAGCCATTTATAACCAAATTCATCATAAGTTCCAGTTCAAAAGTTTCCTTGCCAACGTTAGCGAATATGATCTGGTTGATTTGCAAAGAAAACTTGTTTCTGACATCTTGAAACAGACCGAGTCTAATAAGATAACCAGTGTTGATGGAGGTATCAGTCTGATAAAAAATCATCTCCGACGTAGAAGCGTATTTGTCATTGTTGACAATGTAGACAAAGTGGAACAACTAAATGCAATGGCTGGAAATCGTGATTGGTTTGGCCCAGGAAGTAGAATTATCATAACGACACGAGATGAACGTTTACTAAAGCAAGTGAACATGAAAGTGGACAAGACATATCCGCTTCAAGAAATGAATGAAGAAGAAGCCCTGATGCTCTTTAGTTGGCATGCCTTTGGAAATAGTTGGCCTAATGAAGGATATCTTGAACTCTCAAAAGAGGTGGTTTCTTACTGTGGTGGTTTGCCACTAGCCCTTGAAGTTTTAGGTTCTTCTATGACTGAAAGAACCCCAGCAGAGTGGAAAAGTCAATTGAAGAAATTGAAAAAATTTCATGATGAAGGAATAATGAAACCGCTAAAAGTAAGCTTTGAAAGGCTAGATCCTACGCAGAAGGATATATTCCTTGACATATCTTGTTTCTTTATTGGATGGGATAAGGACGATGTCGCAAAAATATTAGATGAATGTAAGTTTTTTGCAACAATAGGAATCAGTAACCTCCGTGAACGATGCCTTATAACTGTTGAAGACAAGAAGTTGAATATGCATGATTTGCTTCGAGAAATGGCCAAATTAATCATTTCTGAAAAATCCACTCGTCCCCCTGGAGAATGGAGCAGGTTGTGGATCCCTGGAGATGTCTATGATGTACTAACAAATAAATCTGTAAGTAGATTCCCAAAAAAAATTTGTATTAATGCATCGTACAAGAAAAGCATATATGTAACCCACGTATGCCTATTATACATTAAAAAATTCATGTGTAAATATATGTATTTGCATTAAGAAGCTCAATTAGCAAAATCACGTAAAATAGATGCACATAATCCTTTTCTTACCCAGTATAATGTGTTGTTAACAGGGAACTAAAGAAGTTGAAGGACTTGTTGTAAGTTTCCCTACCAATTCGAGGGAACTGGGACTGATCCACCGCGTGCAGCTCCGTGGAGAATTCCCTTTAAAGTCTAGTTGTATCAGTACAGAAGCATTTGCTAATATGAAGAAACTGAGACTGCTCATGCTCCAGAACGTGCAGCTCAATGGAGAATACAAACATCTCCCCAAAGAGTTAGTATGGTTGCGTTGGGAAGGATACCTTTTAGAGTCCATACCAGATGACTTCTTTGATCAACCAAGAACACTAGTTATTTTAGAGATAAAGCATAGCAAACTGGTACAAGTTTGGGAGGGCTCCAAGGTACAATCGATTACACATGATGATGTTAAGTTTCTATTTGTTTTTGGATTTCCTTCTCTCTTTATTTATTTATTTATTTATTTATTTTATGAGATATTCCTTTTGGATATTAATTTTAATTTTTCTTGGATTTCCCCAAAGAGGTCGCACTTGGTGCGATGACAAATGCCTTCGCCCATAAGCGGTAGGTCTCGGGTTCGAGACTTGGGAGCAGCCTCTCCATAAATGGGGGTAAGGCTAGCCGACATTCACCTCTCCCAGACCCTGCGTAAAGCGGGAGCCTTGTGCACTGGGTATGACCTTTTGGATTTTGTGCAACAGTCGCTTGAAAACTTGAAAATCCTTAATCTCAGTAATTGCTGTGACTTAAAAAAATCACCAGACTTATCAAATCTCCCAAGTCTTGAAGAGTTGATATTGGGAAGGTGTGAGAGTTTGTTCGAGATTCACCCCTCCATTGGTCAGCTTAAAAAACTTTCTTTGGTGAACCTCACATGCTGCCATAATCTTATTTCTCTTCCTGGGGATTTCTACAAGTCCAAATCCGTTCAGACTCTTGTTCTTGATTTTTGTAGGCGATTCAATGAACTGCCCGAGGATTTAGGGAAGATGATATCATTGAGAGTACTTAAAGCGTCTGAAACAGCCATAAGACAAGTACCGCGTTCCACAGTAAGATTGAAGAATCTCACTCATTTATTTCTACGGAAATCATGGTTTACCACTGATTTCATTTTAAGGGGGCATGTCACACAATTTCCCAATTCGTTACACGGCTTAGACTCTTTAAGAAATTTAGATCTCTCATTCCAGCGCTTAAGCGATGATGCATTCCCAAAAGATTTTGGGAGTCTAATTTCTTTGCAAGATTTGTGTCTCACATGTAATGATTTTCATACCTTACCCAGCCTCATTGGTTTTTCAAAGCTTGAACGTTTGCAGTTAAATTACTGCCGTAACCTTCATACAATCTATGGTTTACCAACAAATTTGAAATTTCTGTATGCGTCTGATTGCTCCCGTTTGGTAACAATGCCCAATTTTTCGAAAATGTCGAATATGAGAGAGCTACATGTATGTGATTCACGCGCACTCACTGAGGTTCCAGACTTGGATAAGTCATTAAACTCCACGACATTTTAATATGAGGTACTGCCCCAAACTCACCGCTGGTTTTATGAGTAACGTCCTAAAGGTATCTCTCTTTAATTGTCTTCCTATTGCGCACATGCACACACACAACGCACATGTACATTGTGTGTGTGTATATATATAAATATGACACTTGCACTGTATATGTAGGGATGGACTTCTTGCGGATATTTTTTTCAAAGGGAAATATGTTCCTGATTGGTTCAAGTTTGTCAACGATGGTAATAAAGTCAGTTTTGATATCCTCCCGAGTGATGGCATTTTTCTCAATGGGAATTATGTTCCTGATGTTCCTGATTGGTTTGAGTTTGTCAACGATGGTAATAAAGTCAGTTTTGATATCCTCCCAAGTGATGGCATTTTTCTCAATGGGAATTATGTTCCTGATTGGTTCGAGTTTGTCAACGATGGTAATAAAGTCAGTTTTGATATCCTCCCGAGTGATGGTCGTAATTTGGAAGGACTGACTCTATTATGCTTTTACTGCTCAAATACTAATGAGTCAAGAAGCCCTTATGCCAGTTGTGGAGAATGTCATCCTCGTGCCAATATTGATATAAATAATACCAAGCGTACTGAGTTGCAGACCTACATAGGCAAAGAAGATTGGGTTATAAAAATGTGCAATGTATCTGGAAAATGTTATCTTTGGCAGGGACAAATATCGAATGATAAGCTCAATTTGCAAAGCGGGGATAAAGTTGATATAACTTTTGAAATGCCAGAGCCATACAGTAAATATGGTAATGTGACAATTAAGGGAACAGGGGTTAATCTAGTATGGGACAAACCTATGAAGGAAAATGAGCACGAATTTGATGGAACAGGATTTTGATCCAGAGGCACAACCAAGGTTGTGATGCATCGTCATCATCACATGTTTGAGTCAGATCACAATCAATAAATTTCAACTTTTTCGATTTTTGAATCACTCTCATAAGAGGGACGAGCGACCCAAATTCTGAGCAAATCCCCTCTTTACAAAACCCTCCAAATCCCCTCGCCTTCTCCGCACCTTTGGCGTCGCCGTCATCACCCTCGGTCGCCCCCCGAGCTCTCAACGCCATAAACCTAGGTATGTAGATAAACACACACACGCATATGTATATATGTATATATCTGTAATTGCTTTTGATTTGGAGATGATTTGAATTTTTGAGCTTGAACTTTATGGCATCGTATTGATTACAAATCTATGTTATTGCATTTGTTATAAGACGAAACGTTGGATTCAAATTTCAAAGAAGTTAGCTCTTTTTGGAAGAATTTTGTGTTTCTGTTTAAGTGGGAATTGTTGGAAAATGCAGATTTGGATGTGAAATACAAGAGCTATCTGGATGAATGGGAATCTGACCCAAATGTGAAGTGTGTTCTTGTTGATAGCCGCTCGGCTCGTGCCTTTTGTGGCGGTAACGCCCAGAACTCGTATTTGAATAGTTTCTTATCTTTCCTGGCAATTTTACACTTCCATTTTAGCATGTAGTTGAATAAGTTTTTCTAGATATGTATGTTCAGCTCTTTTAGCAGTTATTTTGGTTTTTGGGTCTCTTAGGTAAGGTTTTGAGAGTGACCAATCATGGTAAATGCAGGTAAGGATATTAAAGTTGTTGTTGCCGAAATTCAAAAGGACAAAAACACGCCTCTTGTGCTGAAGGTTTCTACATTACGCTTTGCTTTGAACTAAAGTTGTTTCTTGTTTAGGTGCTTATGTGATAGATTGTTGGTCTTTGATGTTTGTGCTGTTTCATGTCATGTTGTTTATTGTTTCACTTCATTGTTCCTTTTTGTGTTATTTTTTTGCCATAGAGAGATAGTTGGTGTCCGATAAGTTGGCACTTTGATTCATTGATAAGTAATAACCCAGATTTAGATTACCTGCGGGCGGTGATGTGAAGCAGATCACGGCCAAAAACCAACCACCGAATATGATTGTTGTCTAATTGTGTCCTTTAAACTATATAGAATAACAGACTTATAACCTTACACCGTCTTCTAAAATCCAGATAATATAAGATGACTTCCTTCTCTACCATATAAGATGTAATTTTGGTAATTTTCATAGTGCATGGATTTACAACTAGCAAGACGATTGACCCTTGCAAAATCATTGATGATTAAGCCTTAATACAAGCAAGCAAGCCCCTTTTAACAAAATTCATGCGTTAGAATCGTAATGATGTATTTGCTGATAAGCCTAAAAGTTCAAAGTGAAAATCACTTATATGAGTTCTGCTACTTCTTTAATTGCTTTGGCTATTCAATCTCGTATAAATGTCATAAATTGCAGCTAAGATTGTGCTTTCAGCAAGTATTTATTAATGTTCAATACATACGATTGTTTTTTTTTCTTTTGTAATTTCATGTTTGACATTCTCGGGCAACCTACAACATCTGATCATTTGTTTAGTCGTGATTTTGCTTGAACTTGGGTAATATGATTTGTATTGGTTGGATAGGATTCATATCTTTTCTAAGCTACCATTTCTTAAGATTGAGAGGCTACCGGTATGATACTTGTGCTGCATGTTTTTCAGGTATTCACTGCTGAGTATTCTCTAATATGCAAAATCTCTGAGTACAAGAAGCCCTATCTTCATGGATGGCATAACAATGGGCTTTGGTGTTGGCCTATCAGGTCACGGTCACTACCAGATCATTACAGAGGTATTATTGCCTTGTCAGACAGAGATTGTCAATGTTGTGAATTACATTGCCTTTTTGAATTTTTTGTGTCTTAACTTTGTATGGATACATTTCAGAGGACTGTTCTTGCTATGGCAGAGAATGTAATTTGTTTGTTCCCAGATGTTGGGTTTTCACGTATAGCGGCAAAGAGTCCAGGAGGAGGATCTGTAGGTATGTCTTTTCTATACTCCAGGCGCAATTTATTTCCTATGACTGAAGCAAGCTGTTTTTCCAGTGTTGATAAGGAGAAATGTTTAGATTATAAGAATATAAAGAGAATGGCCTGTACCATTTCTCTGTTTGATTCATGCATCAATTCTTAGTTCTGTATTTGTTTTAAGTTTAACACTGTCATGTCTTTCTTGGCGCTTATCTTTGACTTACTGGGAAAAGGATTTCAACACCATCGGATGCGCTGTATGTGGGTCTTGGGACCCATTTTGTCCCATCTCAAAACTTTAGCTATTTGTGCCAAAGAATCAAGGTGAGACCTTTAGAGCTTAGCTTTTACAAAACTAGTTGTAAATTATGCCTTCTGCATGAATTTTTGCCTTTCTTCATTCAAAACCATCTGCAATATCCCCCCAAATAGAGAGAACTTTAACAATGCTGCTTATGAAACATTTAACAGATGGAGAGGTGGAGAGCTTCAAGTGGATTCGGTGATGCATGTTGCAAGCATCATACGGAGGACACAATATTTCAAGCCAAATTGCTCTTTTGTCATCATTGACTTCCTTTCCCGACACGGGTATTTCACTTTCACTACTGATATTCTTATAATAAGTGATCAGATACGAGAGAAACTCACACCTGGAGGATGCCTCTATGATGGTATCTCAAACCATTCATGCACGGCCAAGTATTTTAACCACTATGTGACTCCCTTCCACAAATCTGATTTTTGTTTCTTGTTAATGCAGGTACATTAGCCCCGAGTCCATCAGATACCTGGATCTACTACAAAGTTTGAGAAGTGGCGATTGTTCCTAATTGTACATTTTTCTTTTTTGGTACTGCCTGATTGTGTTTTTTTTTTACTCCTGTTTCTTCCCCGGAATTACAGAAAGCTAATGTTACAAACTAGGCAACTAAAGCAGCTTTCTCCAAATGCAGCTGTTTCTTCTTCTCTGTATCGCTCGTTAATGAAAAATAACTAATCTAGCTTAAAATTTGCATCGAGTTTCGTCTAATCTTCTTCTCTGTATCTCACAATTTTTCGGCCCCTTTTGTCAACTAACTTCGATATTTCTTCTTTTCTACATTCGTTTGTCCTTGATAATTTCTTGAGGTGCCTCCAAATACTGAAGACGGTTGTGAAAAGATGACTGCTGACTGCTGTATGTTCTCCCAGTAGAAAAACACATTATCGCAATCGTTGTCAACCGCCTGTGTCTGCTTGGAACAATGTGAGACAGTCCCCTCTCTTGAGCACTACACTGCCGAACCAAATTTGCAACCGGAAACACCAAACTCGAGAAACAGGATGTGAAATAAGAACAACACAGCAAGAGCCATGACGAGAGACTCAATACGTTGTAAGAAATCCAAACTTGTCTTTGTATTTCCTTCTCTACAGTGCTAAGTAGTGTCGGGACTGCAACGAAACCCAATCCATGCTCTATGCCCGGAACCGTGCCGTGCCGTAAGGGTAAGTGTGATGGTTTCGTCAAGAAAATGAACAAAAAGTGGAACTTGCCGTGTCAGGGTCATAGGACACCAGAACCAGAATATTGAACAATGAACTTGCCGTGTCAGGGGAAATGTGAGAAAAAAGCATATTGGCTAGTGATTGTGAGTCCAAATTCTTGACTGGAGGTTGGCGTAAATTGCCTCTTCACTCGTTGCATAATCAAAGTAGCGCATAATCTTTCAGTTTATTCGCTCATCGTCAATTAATTTTGGATAAAATCTTCACAGTGTAATAAAGTAGTAGAGAGCATGTTATTCACGTGTCAAGCTTGACAGCCACACATATTCTCATAACATCCGATATATATTTTTCACTGTCTAACTTAATAATATGACACATGCGGAAATATACATGAATTGATATTAATAACAACCTTAATGGCAGTAGGTTCCGGGATATTCTTCCTTGCGTGAGAATCTTCTAGGCTTGTCACCTAGGTATATCCCTTCTACGTAGGATTTTCATGTTCATTTTAAGTTTTAACTGCAATTCATAATGAATTTAGGAAGATAGTTTGTTATAGCACTGCTCATGGGAGTTTTCTTTTCGTTTATTAGATTAGCCAATCTGCCCGAAGAGGTGAAGAAGGAACTTGAAGATCCTCATAGTAGCTAAGTCATTTTAGTCCCATTGTTATGCTTTCATTTTAGTCCCAATAGAGAAAAATTCCAAAAATTCCTGCCTGAAAGATAGTCTCATCTCAACTCTTGGATTTGTCACAGACTATGGTCTTGGCATTATTAACTAATATTTACGTAGTTTTATTGCTTTTCTTGGGAATCTTTACAAAGTCTTATTGCTTATCTTCTTTTTACCTGCCATCCATGTTTAGGTACAATTTTGGATGGAGTCATGGAAAAGAGAAGCTGGAATCTGGAAAGCCTGGTATCACTTTATGTTCTTTGTTTTAAATTTTGTTTCTTTGGAAACTCTAAGAACGTAGGATCATTCATTTTCCGTTTCTGTTCTGGTTTTGCAGATACGTTAAAAGGCTCGTTTTATGCAAATCCAATATTGGAAGCCCTACAACAGATGAATCTCTAATTCAAAGGTAAAAGTCTATAGGGACATCAATCATAATCTGGGTCCATGTGGGATCTGTTTTGTCTGAGGTCACACAGTATACGGCTCAGACCAGAAATGTTCGGCAAAACTATTGTTTGTGTTAGTTATGAATAACTATCATACATTTGATACAAGGTTTCTTAGAATTAGCCAGGACAAATCGTCTTTATGCTGGGATATGTTTATCTTTATTTATCCTATTTGAGAACTTACAGATTTTGTGTAAACAGAACATAATACTTTGTGTCTGCTCAGATTTTATTTGTGATCTGTATTGTAGGTATCCATCATACTGTGGTTCAAATATATGGCCCAATAGTGAATTGCCAGAACTAGAAGTCGGTATGTTTTCCTTTAATTTATGATTGTATTTTTTCATGATTATGTCGTCACTGCATGTAACTTTTGATTTGTAGCCTTCAAAGCTCTTGGAGTTGGGCTTATGGTCGCATATCACTGTGACAGATACGGTATAGTCTTTGTTGTTAAGGTTTACACTAAGAGAGCATAGCAATCTTGTTTAGTGTTTTTCCGGTCGCATTTTACACTGAAGTTGTTTGGGAGCAGCCTCTCCATAAATGGGGGTAAGGTTAGCCGACATTCACCTCTCCCAGACCCTGCGTAAAGCGGGAGCCTTGTGCACTGGGTACGACCTTTATTTTACACTGAAGTTGTCATGACAATTTCCTGCATGATTTTGTTTCTGTCCTGGCCAGAAAACAAGTGTCATATTAGTGTATTACGAGCACTCATAAGACCTAAGATATAAGTTGAGATGACACAACCTATGATCTTGATAAAGGGTTAAATCAAGATTTCTGAATGTTTTACATGATTTCATCACAAGAACTTTAAACTTATTGTCTCTCGTGCAGAAGGGATAAAGAATGCTTTGAGCCCGAACGTTGAGGAGTTGAGTGTGTGACGGAGTGGCATGTGAAACTAAGTTAAATGAAACTACATGAGGAGAAAGCACTTTCACTTGGACGCTTTTAGTGCTTTTGTACTGCGTTCTATATGGCCAGTTATGAACTAACATTCTGATTGTGGTTATTTGCGTGGACTTGTTGGAGGAATATGAATTATGCTTTCGGTTTCTGAATATCCATAGTTTGATGCACTACTATCTGATTATCCAATTAAACCCAAACTTAAAACCATTCGTAAATATACAGAATAGTATTAGCCAAAATGGCGTTAAGACCTCCTTTAGTCTCAATAAGTTTGGTAAACAAGAAGGTGCTCGTAGAAGCTTTGTAAAAGCGTTTACCTCTCAATTGAAGGTCTTGTGTTTGAATCTCCTATCTAATAGTGACACAAATCCCTTGCAAAGGGGAGAAGGAAAACACTTTGGTAGGGAAGTGCTCCCCTCTAGCTCCACTCTTGAGAACGTGGTAACTAACTTCTTAATGAACAACCTACAAGTCTGACCATGTGTCACCCGTACTGAATATTCACTAAATGTGATGTAGCATATGCACTCAACTAATATGGTTACAATTTGTAATTAGATGGACCGGTTTTGACTAGGGATGGGTAAATACTCATTGGTTATGGGTAACTGCGGTTATCCGCCTATTTAAATTTCACGGTTACAGTTATGGGCGTTTACTCGTGAAATTTAAATGGGCGGTATGGGTATTAACCGTGGTTATAAACGGGTAACCATTTACCCATTTATTTTATATATGTAAAATTAACACAAACCATGTTCACTATCGGACAAAACTTAGATCAATGCTATTGACTATAGTGCATGATTTCTATAGCTAATATAATATAGTTTTCCTTAACCACTTTAAATTTCATGGTCCATTATATATATTATACATTCTGAGTTAAATAACCCAAGAATACTGTCTTTTAACAGTTTTCGTAACCAAAGAATACTTAGCAAATTTTATATTACCTTCATTGCTAACAATTAAAAATATTGTCTGTAAACTATTATTTCAATTATTGAAATGGTATAAGGACTTAAAAATTAAAATACGGAAATGTATGATGAATACTACAACGGTGTTTAATTGTTAGAAAAAGAAAATTATGACAAATTTTTCTTTTTTAATTTTCAAGTTGTTAAAAAAACACGTAGATGCGTGAAAAATGAGTAAATGGTAAAAAAGAAAGGATAAACGGGTTTAAAAATGATAAATGGGTAAATGGGTACTAAACGGTTACGGTTAAATGGGTACACGGTTATGGTTATGGTTAACCGTTTATAAACGGTTATGGGTATGGGTATAACCGTTTAGACAATTACCCAACGGGTAAACAGTTATGCATGTATGAGAATAAACGGTTATGGATAATTAACCGCGGTTACCCGCCCGCCATAACCGTTGCCCATACCTAGTTTTGACAAAACGCAACAACTTCTTATTAAAGACAGTCTTACAAGTCTGATCATGACACTGTTACAATTGGATTGTGACATCCCACATCGCTCAGAGGAGTGATACTTAAATGTATATTCTCATCCCTACCTATCACGAGGCCTTTTGGGAGTTCACTGGCTTCGGGTTCCGTAGGAACTCCGAAGTTAAGCGAGAAGGGGGCCAGAGCACTCCCAGGATAGGTGACCCACTGGGAAGTTGCTCGTGAGTTCCCAAAAACAAAACCGTGAGGGAATGGTAAGCCCAAAGTGGACAATATCGTGCTACGGTGGTGGAGCGGGCCCGGGAAGTGTTCTGCCCCGGGCCGGGATGTGACAATGGTATCAGAGCCAATCCCTGGCCGGAAGTGTGCCGACGAGGACGTCAGGCCCCTAAGGGGGGTGGATTGTAACATCCCACATCGCCCAGGGGAGTGATCCTTAAATGTATATTCTCATCCCTATCTAGCATGAGGCCTTTTGGGAGCTCACTGGCTTCGGGTTCCTTCGGAACTCCGAAGTTAAGCGAGAAGGTGGCCAGAGCACTCCCATAATGGGTGATCCACTGGGAAGTTGCTCGTGAGTTCCTAGAAACAAAACCGTAATGGCGTGGTCGGGGCCCAAAGCGGACAATATCATGCTACGGTAGTGGAGTGAGCCCGGGAAGTGGTCTGCCCCGAGCTAGGATGTGACACTCAAACCCTTTATTTACGGCCGGATGTTTTAACTACTATGTGATGCGTTTACAAAAATACGCAAGTTTACAAAAAAACTCAAGCCCTATTGAGCGAGCCTTGCTTTCAGTTGTGTAGAGTTGCAATTGAACTTTCTAGTTTTCTGAGATAATGTCTTCCACATGTACGTGGTTAAGTTGATAACTGTAAATAAGTTTTTACGTTACACAATTAACTTACAACTTGGACCATTGAAATTTATTATAATGGATCGATAGGGTCTGCAGTTTCGTGCTAGTTTCTTTCCTCTTCCCCCCATACCGGCAAGAAAGTCATTTCATCCTTTGAAAACATTGTTTATATATGCATATATGGCATCCATTTGGGTGTGTTATATGCAGGTTCATTTGACTAATTAATTACGACCTGACTACTAAACTAAACAAAAATAGTATGCATATATGGCATCCATTTGCGTGTGTTATATGCAGGTTCATTTGACTAATTAATTACGACCTGACTACTAAACTAAACAAAACTAGTTAACCACTTGCTAAGGAATCCAACTGTCTAATAAATACATTAGTTAATTAGCTCCAGTAAAATTCATTTAGGGTTGTTGCTTACATATATAAAAAGACAGCGTTAGCTACCTTGTCCCTTCAAAACATTGTTTATATATGGCATGATGCCATCCATTTGGGTGTATTGTATGGTTCATTTGACTAGTAAGGAAAGATAGCTAATACAAGTTTAATCCTAATGTCCACTTTGCATTAGTTTTTAGCAGTGGAGCCTAAAAATGGTCCATTTGGGTGTATTATATGGTCGGTCCCCATTTGGATCTATTATATTAGAACACCACTTAATAGTTAATACAACGATCAAATAGATTGTTGTTCTAAGTTCATATCTTGTAAATAGTTGAATCATTTATCGCTTATCTTAAATAATTGTTTTTAATTATTCTTTCACATTTTGGGTCTTTTTTCTAATCACTTTAGTTTAGTATGTGGTTGTTGCCATGTTACTTCTCAAATGCTTCCAAATTCCAAACTAAAATAATGCGTTGTTGATAGTTGAATAGCTGTAATCACCCCAAGAAGTAATTGCTTATAACCTATTGGTTAGTCTTTGTCATTCCGTGTTGACTTCTTTCTTCCTTTCCTCTCTTTCACTGCACCTTCCCCGCCGGCCGATAGTATGTCGTCTCTCAAGTTCATACACAAACGTTATTAAAACTTTTCAATTCTAGCAATGTGAGACAATGAGATAACCGAAAAAAATTATGGTCAAACTCTAACGTGTATAACATCCATTTTGGATATGGTTCATTTGCCTAGTAAGGAAAGGCGCAGCTAATAGAAGTATAAGCCCAACGCGCATTTTGCAATAGTTTTTAGCGAACCATTGGGGTGTATTATGTGGTCCACCCCCATTTGGATGTATTATATCAAAGCACCGCCTAATAGTTAATACAGTCATCCAGTAGATCGTGGTCCCATGTTTGAATCTTGTAAATGACTGAATCATTTACTACCCACCTTGAATAATTGTTTTTAATTGTTTCATATTTGTGTCTTTTCTCCTATCACATTTGGGATTTTGAGGGAGTCTTTTTACCATTTCTCCTTCATATAATAGTTTATATGAACTCAATAGAAGTTGTGTTGAAAAAGAATGCCAATCTCATAAAACCGGAAAATCTACAAAAGTTGAATAGCTGTAACCACGGCCTCTTGGATTTTAAATTTAATTTTGTGTAACAATTGCTTGGGAAGTTGAAAATTATTAATGTCACTCATACACATAACCTAACAAAATCACCAAACTTTTCAAAGCTTCAATGGTTTTTCAAAGCTTGAAACACAATATTTAGATTAGTGCGAAAATTTTCGCGCAATCCTCTTCCCCCATACCGGCAAGAAAGTCATTTCATCCTTCGAAAACATTGTTTATATATGCACATCCATTTGGGTGTATTATATGGTTCATTTGACTAATTAATTACCACCTGACTACTAATCTAAACAAAAATAGTTAACCCCTTGCTAAGGAATCCAACTGTCTAATAAATACATTAGTTAATTAGCTCCAATAAGATTCATTTAGGGTTGTTGCTTACATATATAAAAAGACAGCGTTAGCTACCTTGTCCTTTCAAAACATTGTTTATATATGGCATGATGGCATCCATTTGGGTGTATTGTATGGTTCATTTGACTAGTAAGGAAAGATAGCTATAAAAGTCTACTCCTAATGCCCATGGTGCATTAGTTTTTAGCAGTGGAGCCTAAAAATGATCCATTTGGGTGTATTATGTGGTCCGTTCCGATTTGGATCTATTATATTAGAGCACCACTTAATAATTAATACAACGATCTAATAGATTGTTGTTCTAAGTTCATATCTTGTAAATGGTTGAATCATTTATCACTAATCTTGAATAATTGTTTTTAATTATTCTTTCACATTCGGGTCTTTTTTCTAATCATCTTTGTTTATTATGTGGTTGTTGTCATGTTACTTCTCAAATGCTTCCAAATTCCAAACTAAAATAATGCATTATTGATGGTTGAATAGCTGTAATCACCCCCAAGAAGTCATTGTTTATAATCTATTGGATAGTCCTTATCCTTTCGTGTTTGTTACTTTCTTTCCTCTCCTTCACTGCACCTTCCAGGCCAACCAGTAGTATGTTGTTTCTCAAGTTCATACGTGAATGTTATTATATTATGAACTTTTCAATTCTAGCAATGTGAGACATGATAACAAAAAGAATTCTGCTCAAACTCCAACGTGTATAACATCCATCTTGGTGTACTATATGGTTCATTTGCCTAGTAAGGAAAGGCGTAGCTAATAGAAGTATAAATCCTAATGCGCATTTTGCAATAGTTTTAGCAGTGGAGTAGCTTAAAACGACCTATTGGGTGTATTATGTGGTCCACCCCCATTTGGATGTATTATATTAGAGCACCGCCTAATAGTTAATACAATCATCCAGTAGATCGTGATCCTACGTTTTGAATCTTGTAAATGGCTGAATCATTTACCGTCCACCTTGAATAATTGTTTATAGTTGTCATTTCACATTTGGGTCTCCAATACTTTATAATATATATATCATTTTATTTTATAATTTATATATCACAATACAATTATGTGTCATTTTAAGTGTAAAAATATATTTATTTATTTAATATAGAGTAAATTTACTTAAATTCGCATAGACAATAAGCCTCGCCTAGCCACAACATCTATTATATTAGAACCTTGTATAATATATGGACCTAGCTCTTGTTATGAAATATTATTGATTAATTATATAAACCAAGCCAAGTCTTGACTTTTGGGTTCACAGCAAAATGGCAAATTTGCCCTCAATTCCCACGCGTCCATCATCGCTTAAAATGGTTCCTCCTCTTGTCGATTCTCTTCATTCCTCTTTCCCTCTCTCATATAAAAAAAAAAATCAGAACGTTGCTTCTCGAATTCTGTCTCCCTCAGCCAAGCTCCCCATTCCCCGTTCATTTTCGAACTTGGCACAGTGGAATGCAACCCACGCGTCGATAATCGTGACTTCTTCTCCGCTTTTCCTTTCCTTTACGTTTTTCTCTCTCGCCGTCCAACCTCTCACGAATTACAAACAAGGTGCTTTCTTGCTGGAAAAACCACTGAACCAGTAGAATTTTCCTCGGTTCTTCAATTCGATTCGAACAATTTTTTTACCCAGAAAAGCTAGCTTCCTGGTGAGTATTGCAGCTTTCTCAGTGTGGGTGTTTCAATTTCGTTTTTGTGATTTTGGATTTGCAAATTTGTTTTCTGTTCAATTTTCCTTTTGTGATTTTGGGGGGTTTTGTTTATCGATTCTCTCACTCATCTCTCAACTCTCTCTCTCTCTCTCACTTTTGAGGTACATGCCGTTGGATTCCGTTTGCTGCTGCTGATCTGCAGGTAAAGCTTCAATTTCCAAATAAAGTTTCCATTTTTCATGATTTCTTGAATTTGGGTTTTTAAACAATGGAAATACCGCTAGATTCTTATCATTATGTGCAAATTACTGGTGATTTGGATTGGTGCCTGAGATTTAGAGAATGGCTCGCAGCTTTAATTTCTTTTTCCTTCATTATTACTGTTTTCAAATTTTTTATTGCTGGGTATTGATAATTTGTAGTCTGTGAGGGCTTCAATCTGTTGGAATTTTGAATGGTTATTGCTTCATCGGAAATTGGGTGGTCCAAATTTTGAATTAGAAGAAACCCATTTGATTAATATTTTTGGTGGATTGGCTCTCTCTGTGTTTTCTCTGTTATTTCTTCCCCAGTTGGAAAGTGGAGGCCCCAACTTTGAGCTCAGAACTTGAATTTCTCAATAATTCGTTTCTCTGCACTCTCATCAGTCACTCTTGATCCTCTCTCTGAGGAATTGGGTAATTTCCAGCTCTATCAAGTAATACTCCATTTAATTGCTTAATTGAGGTTTTTTGTTTCTCTTTTTCGCTCTTTCATCAGTTCATTGGCTTTGTTGTCCGGCTTAAGTAAATGGGAAATCATTAATTGGCATTGTTCAAGATATAATTATGTGTTGTTGGATTTATGAAACGATTTGGCTAATGAAGAGAGTGGTTTTTTGTATATAGATTACACACATGTGGGCTGATCTATCTTTCCTAATAAATTTCCCATCTGTTTGAGGTATAATTTTTCTCATCTATTTGCAAACAAGTTTCGGTATGTTCTTACTTCTCCTCATGGCAAAATGTTTTGTTTTTAGTAATTGGCAGGCTTAATGTATACGACATTATTGTTTTGAGGGTGGCCACGTGAACCATTCTGTATTTGTCTCTGCATTCTCCTTCTTTTAAGAAATTGCATTTCCTTTCACAACTTCAACGCAAACCATTAAGCAAACAAACATATTCACGGAGGTAGTTGGTGGTTCAAATACCAATTTCAGGCATGTATCAACATTTTTTGAATTGTATAGGTTATTTTTTTGGAGTTGATAGTAAGGAAAAATTTCTTTAGTTTCACATGTGCTTATCTATCATTTGTTACTGGGCAATAATTTCTTTAGTGCCCTACATATTTTGGCTTATTAGATTGGCCTTCATTCGGTGCTTATCTGTGATTGTTAATAATTGCTGGCGGACTTTCTGGGTTGCAAATTCTCGAACAGAATTTCTGACTTGCAAAATCTATTACATAACAAAAGACATTCCTTCTGTTTTTAACTTTTTACCTCTCCATTGTTGGTTGTGTCAAAAGTATCAATTTTGTTCATTTACATGAACGTCACAAGACGTGCAACCAAAAACAAAAAAAAAAAAAGAACAAAAAAAAGAAAAGAACAAGGCACTGCCTAAAGATGAGACATCTAACAGATGAGTTTCTGTTTTGAACCTATCGTAGTCAATTGGTCTTGCAGTTTTAGTTATCAATTCAATTCCTCCATTGCTAATATTACTGTCTCCATTAAGCGCCTTCATTGAATATTTCTACTAAATTTTTCAGGCTGAAGAGGATGACGAGAATATAAGTGGTGAATTGTATTATTAGGGGGAGGACAGGTAAACTTATTCTACGTTTCTTTCGTTTTTCGTTGAGCATTTATTGTTATTTTCCACAACTTTTTGGATTGTTTATGTTTGACTTTGATGATTGTGGCGTTTCAGATAAAGGTATATCCCAAACCTAATAATTTTGTTTGGTTTTTTCTTCCTTTTTCGCCTCTCTTCTTTTGATTTCCCGTTTATATATTCTATGTTTTCTTATGGCAGTTTTGAACCTTTTCTTTTCTGAATTTGTATGCTTTATGGGTTGTCATTTAATCTGCTTAATTATCATCGTGATCAACTAAGATATCACTTTTTCATACACTATAGACTTTGAGTTAGTGGTTGAATTATGAATTGAGAAGTGGATAATGCCATAAAAAGTTTGCTAGGAGTAGGAGGATGTTCTTGGCACACTATAAGAAGTTTTCTTTTTCTTTTTGGCAAGTTTTTCATATTCATGATTCCGTTATCAGTGCATTTGCTTTCCCATGATTTCTCATAAATTGGACATGAATGTATTTATAGATTTTTATTTTTTTTAGCCAGACAAAGGATTTGATTGAGCAACAGGTGCATCAACCATATATTATTACTACAATTGTACGAGGCCTCGGCATTACAAGGTCTTGAAATTACCTCTCTCTCTTTTTTGGTTTTTGACAGATTATATGAGATTTTATTGCTGTTAGCTTGATGAAGGCCGACTGACGCTCCGGTTCGAAGATGTGACTACGGGACAGAGGTTCAGGGCCGAAGGGGTAGAGGAAGACCTAGGAAAACTTTGGAAGAGACTCTAAGAAAAGACTTAGAGTACTTGGATCTAACGGAGGACATGACACAAAACCGAGCGCAATGGCGTTCTAGGATTCATATAGCCGACCCCACTTAGTGGGAAAAGGCTTTGTTGTTGTTGTTGTTGTTGTAGCTTGATGAAGTTCTCGATTCATGACCATGTATTTTTTCAACTTCTACCATTTGGTTTCTGTTGACTTTAAATCTGAGTTGTAGTGATGTTTGTGTTTTCTAAATTTCTTCCAATAGCTTAGTTTTAGTTTGATTTTTTTGTATATCTCTTCAGAGCAATTCTTGGAGTTGCAATCTTACCAGCTACGAAAAGGAAAGTTATTGAGAAAATCTGGAGAGAAGGGCCTTATTATGGCCAGCAGAAGCTGTAAGTCCTTTTTTAGATCATTCAACAGGGAGATGGTATTCTCCATGACAACCGCTCCAAAACCAATAACTCCTTTTTCCCTGGATTGACCAAAATATCAACTTCAAAGCAAGTTGTGTCGGGTGTAACGACATTTGTAGGGCAACAAACGTTTAACTAATCAGATTTAATTTAGGGCAATTTGGATTTGCTTTCATTTGTTTTGATTTGTAATTTTATAAGCAATTTTGAGTTTGTGTGAAAATTAATATGGTTTTTTATTCTCTCTCCTCGCACACACTCTCTCTCTTTCTCATGTTTTTGAGGAGTTGGAGTCCTAAGTGTGTTTCTGTTTCTGGGTTTTGAGTGTTTTGTTGTTTTCTTGGAAAGTATTGTTCTTGCTCTAAAAGTAGCAATCAGTGCTATGTATTTTGTGCATGATAAAACTTATAAGTGTAGTATTGTGGTGCTCATTTTTTGGTTAAAAGCTAAAAGAGTCTCTTATTAAGATTTTGGTCAATTTTTATCTAACTTAGACCAAACTTCAGCATATACTTCACATGACTGAAATCATCTATTTACATCGATAAACCTTCAATTACGACATGATTGATATGGATATATAGACCCAATAGCTTTAGCTATATGTTATAGTTTTACACATAAAAATTGAATTTATCAATTTTAAATCTTTCAACCATGTTATTCAACAGATGCCATAAACTGCCCTATTTTTTTTGAACTCTGTAGAAAAGGAATTTATATGCAACATGATCAGAATGACTACATAAATTGCTTATAAAATATCTTTTCAAATACATAAGGAGAAAGAGTGATGGTTCTCAACGCATCTTTATTGTTGCCCAAGTTTTTGCTGATTTTGAAAGCTATGAATTGCTAATGGATTTACCTTTTTTTTTGTGTGGAATTTTCAGAGTTTTGGGTCATCGGAGGAAGAACTTAATTGCTTGATATTTTGAGGTATATACTTTACTTTACTTTTGTTTTAGTTTCTTCAATTAGATACTGTTAATTCACACCAATGCTTTTGTTTCTGTTGGGTTTTTTAGTTTAAACTTTATTCGGAATCATTTGGTGTGTGTTTGAAACTTTGGAATCAGATTTTCAATTGGTTTTGTGAAGTCCTAACTTTTAATTTCATTTGGGTCTGACCTTGAGTTTAAAACTTTATCTGGAATCATTTGGTGGGTGTTTGTAACTTTGGAATTAGATTTTAATTGGTTTTGTGAAGTCCTAACTTTTATTTTCATTTGGTTCTGACCTTTTAGCTGTCATTGGAAATCATCATAAAAGTAAAGTTTTGCATTCCTTAATTCAATCTTTGGCAAGCCATCTTGCATGATAACCAAGTAAATGGTTTTTAGTAAATGTTGATTTTGGAAAGTTCTTTGTTTAATTTTCTAGGTTCTGATGAATTCTTCATTTAGAGTTGGTGACCAACAATCGACCCACCACCAATTTTAGATCAAGATTCTAGCATGCCTTAAAAGTGTAAGTCAGTTTTCCATTCTATTTTGTTGATTTTGTCATCTGGGTGTCTTAGAAAGCTAACACCTCAGTTCATTTCTGACTAGGGTGTTACCTTTTTATCTGTATTGGTTGGAAGATTTCAGAAAGCTTGCATTCAAGTTTGTCTCTGCACCTTCTGGCCAACATTATGTCGTTTCCATACGCCAACATTATTATATTATAAACTTTGTTCTTGTTGACTTAAGGAGCTTGACTTGGGTTTAGGTGTTTCAGGATCATCTGTTCAATAGCACAAACACAACTACTGCCATTTTTCAGTCATAATCTGAACCACTGCAGTGCCATAACAGTGGATACCGCCATGACAAACCATGAAGCCTCCTCTTCATCCTCCCCCAAGTCAAAACTTTGGAATTACGACGTGTTCTTGAGCTTCAGCGGTGTAGACACACACAGTGGCTTCACGGACCACCTCCACGCGGCATTAACAGATAGGGGATATCAAGCGTATATCGATGAGGACGATCTAGAAAGAGGGGAAGAAATAAAAAAAGAACTGGAACAGGCAATCGAAAAATCGAAGATCTATATCATTGTCTTCTCAGAGAGGTATGCGGATTCGAGTTGGTGTCTTAACGAGCTGGTGAAGATCATGGAGTGCAGAGACAAATTGGGGCGACATGTTTTGCCAATATTCTATCACGTTGATCCTTCACATGTCAGGAAGCAGAATGGAGTTTTGGCCCAAGCATTTAAGAAACACGAAGAGAACATCAGTAAAGAAAAAGATGACAAGAAACGTGAAGAAAAACGAGAAAGGGTAAAGCAGTGGACAGAGGCTCTTAGAGAAGCTGCAGAGTTGGCTGAAGAATTTCAGAAGCACGAAGAGGGCATCGGTGAAGAAAAGGATGACAAGAAACGTGAAGCTAAACAAGAAGGGATAAAGCAGTGGGGAGAGGTTCTTACAAAAGCTGCAAATTTGTCTGGCTACCATCTTCAAATCACTGATAAGAGGTAATCATTGTGCTTTTCAATATTTAAGTTGTATTACTCTAATTAACATGCTTAATTAATACACCTTAATCTCTCATATAAAATCTAGAGGAAAATTGTAGCTTTGGTTCCTAAATTAAAAATTCATTATATTTTGTCCTTGAACTTGATAAAATATGGAGCGTTAGTCCTTCGTAACCAATTCCTTTAAATTTTAGTTAAAAGTGTCTACTATATATATATATATATATATATATATATAATTGCAGGTAATCATTGTGCTTTTCAATATTTAAGTTGTATTACTCTAATTAACATGCTTAATTAATACACCTTAATCTCTCATATAAAATCTTGAGGAAAATTGTAGCTTTGGTTCCTAAATTAAAAATTCATTATATTTTGTCCTTGAACTTGATAAAATATGGAGCATTAGTCCTTCGTAACCAATTCCTTTAAATTTTAGTTAAAAGTGTCTACTATATATATATATATATAATTGCAGGCGTACCTCATCCCACCAACACTCGCAGGCTCGCAGCCCACCCCTTCACCTTCAATCTTTGATTCACACCCGTCAACCTCCCACTTCCAACCCCAAATCCCTAATCCCCACTCCCCAGCCGGCCCCAACCTGTAGCCCATGGACCACAGCCGTCACCCAAACCCACATCTCACAAATTTCTTGAATCTTACCTGTCGAGACAACGTGGATGGATGTCATTGTGAATTTGTTTGCAAAGGGAGATGTGTTCCAAATTTGGATTATAAACTTTCTTTGTTTTTGCTGTTGGGAAAGTGCTACAATGGTGTGGCTGGGGTTTGGAGGAGGGGAGGCGGAAGGGAGGATTGGAGAGAGTTAACTTTTATAATTGAAATATTTTTTTTTTCTTTTTCTTTCTCTATGTTTGTATTTATTTTCTTTTATTTTGAATTTTCAAGCCACGTGGCATCTAGTAAACAAAAATATAGAGCCCACAAAGATGACGTCATCAAATTAACAGAAAATCTTACGGTGTTAACATGGAGGGATGAATGCTCCATATTTTGTTAAGTTCAAGGACAAGATTTATTGAATTTTTTAGTTTAAGAACCAAAGCTACAGTTCAATCATAGTTCAGGGACCATTTCTCCAATTTCCTGTAAAACCTAAACCATAATTGGAGTTTAATTGATACACCAAACTTTAATATATCCATGAATGAATTTGTTTCTTTTATTGACGTTGGTCCCAAAATCACATACTAGCTATAGTAGATAGTTTGTGTGCACACACGCGCGCGAAGGAAACAAGGAAATATACTAATAGCTCATACTGAGCCTACTTACTAAGCTTACCAATTCAATTTTTCAGGTGCGAAGCAAAGCTTATTAGAGAAATTGTTAACAAGATTATCCCGGAATGGCTTCCGAGCGCAGAAAGTTTACATGTGGCCAAGCACCCAGTTGGAATATATACTCGCATTCAAGATATCATCACTTTTCTTTCAAATGGTGGATCAAATGTTGTTCGCATGGTTGGAATTTGGGGGATGGGTGGATTGGGTAAAACAACAGCTGCCAAAGCCATTTATAACAAAATTCATCATGAGTTCCAATTCAAAAGTTTCCTTAACAACGTTAGTGAAAAAGATCTGGTTGTTTCGCAAGAACAACTTGTTTCTAACATCTTGAAACAGAACAAGCGTGAGATAACCAGTGTTGATGAAGGTATCAGTCTGATAAAACATCATCTCCAAAGTAGAAGAGTACTTGTCATTATTGACAATGTAGACAAAGTGGAACAACTAAATGCAATAGCTGGAAATCGTGATTGGTTTGGCCTAGGAAGTAGAATTATCATAACGACACGAGATGATCGTTTACTAAAGCAAGTGAACATGAAAGTGGACGAGACATATCCGCTTAAGGAAATGAATGAAGAAGAAGCTTTGAAACTCTTTAGTTGGCATGCCTTTGGAAATAGTTGTCCTAATGAAGGATATCTTGAACTCTCAAAAGAGGTTGTTTCTCACTGTGGTGGTTTGCCACTAGCCCTTGAAGTTTTAGGTTCTTCTATGATTGAAAGAGTCCCAACAGAGTGGAAAAGTCAGTTGGAGAAATTAAAAAAAATTCCTCATGAAGGAATAATGAAACCGCTAAGAGTAAGCTTTGAAAAGCTGGATCGTACACAAAAGGCTACTTTCCTTGACATATCTTGTTTCTTTATTGGATGGGAAAAGGACTATGTCGCAAAAGTATTAGATGGATGTGAATTTTTTGCAACAATAGAAATCAGTGTCCTCTGTGAACGATGCCTTGTAACTGTTGAACGCAACATATTGTATATGCATGATTTGCTTCGAGAAATGGCCAGAGTAATCATTTCTGAAAAGTCCCCCGGTCACCCTGGAAAATGGAGCAGGTTGTGGAATTCTCGAGAGGTCACCAATGTATTAACAAATAAATTTGTAAGTATATTCCCAATAAAATTTTGGATTAATGCATTGTACAGGAAAAGCATATATAACCCACGTATGTCTATTATACATTTTTTCTTTAACAAAATGTCTATTATACATTAGACAACATTCATGTGTATATATGTTAGTTGCACAAGGAAAGCTCAATTAGCCAACAATAGTACTCGCATTTATTCATAGTACGTGATTTTGCCTAAGTAACATATCAATAATGAATTATCCATTTATTGATACATTTGGATGTCTAAATTAAGTGATCTCTGATTCAAATTTTTTGTAATGATTATAAGAGTAAGAAATTGAATGGTTCCACAATGAAAATTTGTACGATTAAGAAATGTTATTTGCAAGCGGCAGAATGAGCTTGTCACCCCAAAGGGGGAATGCAAGTATAATTCATTATGCAAAATCATGTAAACATATGCAAATAATCTATTTCTTACTTAAACTTTTTTTTTTTTTTTTTAACAGGGAACTGAAGAAGTTGAAGGACTTGCTCTAGATATCCCTTATCCCGGGTTACCAAGCTCTGACAAGACTAGTTTCAGTACAGAAGCATTTGCCAATATGAAGAAACTGAGATTACTTCGGCTCGACTACGCTAATAAGCTCAATGGAAAATACGAACATCTTCCCAAAGAGTTAATATGGTTCTGTTGGAGTAAATTCCCTTTACAGTCCATACCAGATGACTTTTTAAATCAAGAGAAACTAGTTGCTATACAGATGCACGATAGTAAATTGGTACAGTTTTGGCAGGGTTCCAAGGTATAATCAATTACACGTCATAATGTTCTGTTTCTATTTGTTTTTGGATTCCTTCTTTTTTATAAGATTTTCTTTTTGGATATTAATTTCAATTTTTCTTTGGTTTTGTGCATTAGTCGCTCTCGCTCCAGAAGTTGAAGATCATTGATCTCAGTTTTTCTAGTGACCTAATTAAATCACCAGACTTTTCACAAGTCCCAAATCTTGAAGAGTTGATATTGGAATACTGCAATAAATTGTCCGGAATTCACCCCTCTATTGGTTATCTTAAAAGACTTTCTTTGGTGAACCTTAGATTCTGTGACAATCTTATTTTTCTTCCAGGGGATTTCTATAAGTCGAAATCTGTTGAGACTCTTTTTCTTTCGTTCTGTTCAAATTTCAAAAAACTGCATAAGGATTTAGGGAAGATGATATCATTGAAAATACTTGATGCAGATTCCACAGCCATAAAACGAGTACCACCTTCCATAGTAAGATTGAACAATCTCACTCGGTTAGATCTCTCATGGTGCAAATTAGATGATAATAAAATCCCTAAGGATCTTGGGAGTCTAATTTCCTTACAAGATTTGAATCTTAAAGGGAATTCTTTTTGTAGCCTACCGAGCCTCAATGATCTTTCAAAGCTTGAAACTCTGAAGCTCAGTAAATGCAGAAATCTTCATACAATCCCCAATTTACCAACAAATTTGGAAGTCTTGAAGGCACCTGGTTGCCCTACATTGAAAATAATGCCCAATTTTTCGGAAATGTCAAAGATGAGAAAACTGAATTTAAGTGATTCGTCCAAACTCACTGAGGTTCCAGGCTTGGATAAGTCATTATCCTCCATGACATTGATTGATATGAAAAGGTGCACCAATCTCACAGATAATTTTAAGAAGAACATCCTACAGGTATCTCTCCCTCTTTCTTTTAATTGCCTTCCTATCGTGCGCATGCACGCACAAACGCACATGTACATGTATATATATGACACTTGCATTGTTTATATAGGGATGGACTTCTTGCGGATTTGGTGGCATTTTCTTCCATGGGAATTATGTTCCTGGTTGGTTTGAGTTTGTCAACAATGGCAATAAAGTCAGTTTTGATATTCCCCGGAGTGTTCGTAATTTTAAAGGCCTGACTCTATTCTGCTTTTACCACTCAAAAAATAATTATTATTCTCTTCACATTACTGTTATAAATCACACCAAGCGTACTGAGTTGCGAGCCTGCATAGCCATACGCGGAGAAGAAATAGACGGAGAAGAAATAGACGACATGCCTGAACCTGATTATATTTGGCTAGGACAACTATCGAACGATAAGCTCAATTTGCAAGGCGGGGATAAAGTTGATATAATTTTTGAAGAACCTTTTGTAAGTGTGGATCCTTATTATTTATTTACTGTTAAGAGAACAGGAGTTAATCTAGCGTGGGATAAGCCAATGAAAGAAAATATGCTTGCTATGAATAGTGCTGGTTATGTTTCTGACCCACATCCAGCTTGGTTCTATGATGAGGCAGAACCAAGCCATGAATCATCTGATAATAGTAATCCCAGTAATCAAATGAGAATTACTACAGATGACAGAAAGGGGAAAAGGCAAAAATTTTGAAGTGAAAGCATCTTCTGTCAAGATTAAGTCACACCCAGATCGGTTCTATGGTGAGACACGATCAAGGTCGTGTTGCATTGTCATCATCAGACTCATCCTCATCATCACATTCTGAGCTCCTGGACTACAGATTACCTCCAGCTTCATCATCAGCAAGTCAACATTTCATACTTCTTTCAGATTCTTATGATTTTCCAGTAAGTAATTGTTTTGAATTTTGAAGACATATTGCATCCGGAAACATTTCAACATTACAAAAACCCATGTAAAATTTCAACATTTCTTTAATTGCTAAGATTGTGCTTTCATCATTTATTTACTAATGTCCAACACATACGATTTTTCCTTTTGTAATTTCATGTTTGGCATTCTCGGGCAACCTACAACATCTGATCATTTGTTAGTCTTGATTTTGCTTTGACTTGGGTAGTATGATATGTATTGGTTGGATAGGATTCATTTCTTTTATAAGCTACCATTTATAGTATTCTCAAGATTCAGAGGCTAGCGATATGATATCTGTGCTGCAGGTTTTTCAGGTATCCACTGCTGAGTATTCTCTAATATGCAAAATCTCTGTGCAAGAAGCCCTATATAAGCTTCATGGGTGACATAACAGTGGGCTTTGGTATTGGCCTATCAGGTCACCGGTCGCTACCGGATCATTGCAGAGGTACTATTGCCTTGTCAGACAGAGATTGTCAATGTTGTCAATTACATTGCAGTGGCTTTTCAAATTTCAGAGCACTGTTCTTGCTATGCGTTTCCGATGCTTTAGTTGGCATCATCACATTGTCTAATGCGTTTGTTGAGATAAAAGCAACTCCATTGTTGATGCAGTTCCCAGGATCCCCTTCAGAACATTGAAACAACTGTGGCCAAATTCAGCAGCAACCCAGATTCTGGAACGCAACTCAAGAGGCTTTTGCCTCAAATAACTTCAGCATTTGGTGTAAATAAGTCGGTTCTTGAGACAATTGATGAACTTAAAAAGCAGCAGCTGAGTTCAGATGCTACTGGTAAGTTTGTCGTACTCTTCTATTGAGAGGCTTGTATGTCACTGTCAAGTATTTTCGACCAAATTGTTTCTATTGCAGTGGAGTGGGCTAACAAAGCTCTTCAAGGTCTTGGAGAGGGTGCTCCTTTTTCACTTTATTTGACAAAAAATTACTTCTCCAAAGTTGGCATCTGCGCTTGGGAAAAATGACAACCAATTATGAATTATCCAGTGAGTCTGGACTTCGTACCTTTTCGTTTCTTTCATCACATGGTTGCATCCTTTTGATAGGTTTTGTTTTGTAGTATTTCACATTTTCTGTGAGTAACATGTGCTTTACTTGACCAACAAAAGTTGACTGATGTGATAATATCGCCTTGCTATAAGATCGTCTTTGTGGACTGAGTTGCTATAAGATCGCCTCTACAAGACCTACAGTTATATAATCATCTTACTTTCTGTATATCAGAACGGATCTTTATCTTTGGCTTCGGTTTCTTGTCAATGCAGAATCCGAAGTGGAACCTGTCAAGGTTAGAGGAGGTGAATCAGAGTGAAGTGGAAGCTCTCTTGGAGCCATTGAGCCCGAACGTTCAGGACTTGAGTGTGTGACTGATTGGCATGTCAAAACTAAGTTAAATGAAACTACATGAGAAGAAAGTACTTTCACTTGGACGCTTTTAGTGCTTTTGTACTGCGTTCTACATGGCCAGTTATAAATAACATTGTGATTGTGGTTATTTGCGTGGACTTGTTAGAAGAATATGAATTATGCTTTCAGTTTCTGAATATCCATAGTCTGACGCACTACTCTCTGATTATCCAATTAAACCCAAACTTTAAACCATTCGTAAATATACAGAACAGTATTTGGCGTTAAGACCTCCTTTAGTCTCAACGAGAAAATATGCCCGCGTGTTGCTGCGGGACTTGAATGCACCCACCTTAACTGCATAAATAAGATATATTTAACCTGAATAAATTAAGACACATGCACCATGCACTCGTCTCTTAGTTATAAGAAAACTTGTTTGCAATGCTGAGAAAAAGCTTATTATTGTTGATAAAAATGCACACAACACCAATGGATCATGCCATAAAAATTACACCATGAAAAATCCAGAGACCAAAATCCCCGCTGGCAGAATTTATTCACATCAAATTTAAAATCTAACACCATACGATCAAATGTTAATCAAACACACAATCTCAAAAAGCCGAAACCATGTTAAGCAAAAGAAACAGAAGGAAAAGAGTGAAGATGTAAGCATTGATAAGAATATGAAAAGTGGCAGCACTGATATCATGCACACATAGGGCAATGAAATATCGGAACCAGCAGCAACAAATAGAACCAAGAAGGAAAAGGATTGATAAAATAAATAAATAAATAAGAAATAGGACAGAGGCACAAACCAACGACATGAGCTCAGTTTTTTCACCATGAATTTTGCATGGCCTGAAATCAAGAAAAGGATGTGTTTACCGGGATTTTGAAGTGGACGCCTGCAGTCCGAATGACAGCGATCATCCCTCTTTTGTTGGTCCAGAACCGACCCGGGACACTCATACGAAATCCAAAAAGGCAGCATTATCTGGAAGGAACATGCGAAGCTGTCAACAACAACGAAGTAAATATATAGTTCCATAGATGCAAACAAAATAACACTATGGCATGATATTTGATTAAGATCAGTCTCTACCAATTTGATGGCAAAAACACACCTCTCCCATACGGGAATGAACCTAACCATTTAACGAAAAAAAGACGAAAACCCATGCGGGAATGAACCTAACCGCACTGCATGCACTCGCATAGACTGCATACACATACACTCACACACACCGAAGAATGAACGCATTATATTCAGTTAGCACCATTCAACTTTAATAGCAGTGAGACCTTCCAAAGGCACAGCCCAATTGGCCTCGGTTCAAAGAACCAAATTGAGAACTACAGTTCAATTTTAGAAAAGTTGTACGAGGGAAAACAAAAAAGAAAAAAAGAGAGACAAAACAATCCTATAACCACAACTGAAAAACAAAATCAAAATGAACAGAATAAAATATCAGCAGAGCATGAACACTAACTAACATCCTTTGGAAACATGTTCTGGTTACGTATAATATATATGCGCATAAATTAAGAAAATGGCTTGAGTGCCCTAGCAATGGTCTTTACGCTGAACCAAATCACTATTAGGTTAATTGTATTGATTCACGCATCTTCTTTTATGTCTAAATATCTACTAAATTGCCCTACAAAAATGAAATAAAACTAATTAAAATTCCCAATGTATATGAGAAATACAACTTTTAAAAGTGTGAGAATATATGCAGCACCAAGATGTTGCAGAACTCACTGCCCCAATTTAAGATTCGGTTTTTGTCCAATGTATGTATATGCTTATATACATCTGAGAATTTGCTTTGCAACAGTTGCTACTCTCATCGTCTTTTGAGAGAGATAGATACAAAGGTAAAGATTACAATGGGGAATAGTTAAGAATCCCTCTAAAATACTAAAGAAAAACATACCTAGAACGGAGTAAACAACTGCTTGTCTCCATAGTAGCTTCTCAGAGCATTTATGCTGTCAGAAAGATAGTGCTCCACTCCAGAAGGATGGACACATGTACCAGATGGAGACTGACCCAAAGAAAACATAATTAAAAGTTAGCATCTGATGAACAATTAAGGTGATGCAAAAGGGCAACACGTGATGTGAAATTATTATACCAAATATCCAAAGTCTGTTAATCTAATCACCCAATAAAATAAAATAGAAATTAAGCACAATAATATCAAAATTAAAAGGAAGGAATAACATGAAACCTTGTGCATAGAACGTTCGTGAGAATGAATCACACAACAATCAAGGGTGGACAAAGCACAAATGTGACACTGAAAGGGGACCTAACGAACACCCCCATCTCTCTCTGCAATTGCAGCAATCCCTCGGGTTTGAGGAAGCAAATGGAAAACGAAATGTTTTTCCATCCCCTACCCATACCCATACCTCCCTTACCCGTTCCCTCTACCCTCGCAGAAAATCCTCCCATCTCTCTCTCACCCTTGTCCCATCTCTCTGTCTGCAAATCGCAGAAAAGAAACCCTAAACAAATCCCTGAAATCCCTCGCCTAAATCCTCCCACATTTCTCTCGGACACACTCTCTTTGCAAAATCTAAACCAGATCTCCTAAATCCTATCTCATACACCCCACAAACAGCAAAGAAGCCAAGATATTAAAGCAATCTCTACATAATACTTTGAAACAATGAAACAAAATGGTACTTACTTGTTCCTTGTCCAAAACCGTTGGTGCCGCCGCACATTGTTATCAATTGTGGGTTTATCAAATCCTTCATGGCTTAGACTGCATGAAGAATTAGAATCTAAAAGATAAATATATGCTGTAAATCATCATATAAATGTAACTGCATTTAAAAAAAAAGGAATGAAAAAATTGAATTCTATTTCATCAGTATGTAACTGCATGAAAAGTTACATTGAATGCAGACTCAATCAATTTCCCCAAAGTCATTGTTAATCTGAAAATCAATACCAAACCCATAAATACCACCATTGAATTTGGCAAAACCCAAAAACAAAAAACATAAATTTACTCGTATAATCACAGAAAAACGTGAAATTTGAGCACCCATTTGGCCAAGTTAAAGAATAAAGGCACTCACATCATCACAGTACTCTTTGGGAAGATCTTCTAATACTGGTTCTTCCTTTTTCTTGCTCTTCCTCAGAACTGCCATTAAAAAACCCAGAGAAGCACACAAATTCAGAAAAGATAAGGTCCAAAACTGCCATAAAAATCCAGAAAGCATACAAATTTATTAGAAAAAAAAGTTCAAATTACAAAAACCAACTGATGTGAGTGAGTAGTGAGAGGTTGTGTTAGGCACCTGAAACACGTTTTGGTTTCAATTGAAAGGGCCAGAGCCTTGCATGCGAGGAAGATGACGATAGGATTCCAGAGACAGAGAAAGGAGGAGTAAGACGACGGAGGTGAGAGAAGGGAGACGGCGGCGAGAGGAGGATAGGACAGAGGCAAGTGCCAGAGTTTCTGCTTGTCTGCAAAATTGGCAAAATTGGCACACAGGTTCACAACTCGTCGTCTTCCCTTTATCAATGGCTCCTTTAAATATCCAAATGATCAAGGTCGATCGTGCTCGCAGAATACTTGATGAGCTCCTTTTGGTAATCCACCTAAAACAAATAAGCACAATATCTATGTAAACTAGCATTTCACTCAATTATACATTAAGCAGTATGTTTCTATATTTTAAATCCTGTTATGATAACAGGTAAATATAGATGATACAAAAGTAATTTAGTTTCATCATGCATATTTTCGCACTATTTAGTAAAGAACTCGGCCAGACTTGATTCCGAATGACATTCACAATTTCATATAGAATTTCAAAAGCCAGAGATTACAATAAAATTTCACAAAGAAAGCAAATTGTAATATAAGTCTGATCTACAATTCGGATTTACCTGGATATGGTGATTTACGTTTCCATTGGAATTTTTGCATGCATTTACATCTGATGAAAAAATAATACATCATTAGTTGGCAGGAAGGAACTTTGATAAGCAGATAAAGAAGTACGATTGAATATAAGTTTCATGTACCCTGAAGTTGTTTGTTCTTGCTACAGAATACTCGCATCTGTTGCAGCCGCTTCTATTTTCTTCATGGTTTCAGTAATGGTATGCTTGGGTCCAATTCTTGTTGTCTTCTATTTCTCATCCTAAATTAAGTTAACAGTTCAACATTATTCGTTATAAGCTAAAAAAGTAGGATTAGTTATTTTAGTAAATCTATTTCTTGTAAACTTGCCTGTTCCTCGAACATACCTGACAAATCGAGATCATTTGACATGGCTATCAATTGGAATGCATTTATAAAACTCGAGGATTTGGGAATTATTGTCTCCGCCACATTTTCCTGCAATGAAAATAGCAATTGTAACAAAAATCAGATATTTGGATCGAAGGTAAGATTCTAGCATTTTCTCCGTATCACAATCATGCAGAGCTTTTACCTCAATTGAATCAAATCCAACACCAACCCATCACAGCTCGATGATCACTCAAAAGTCAGAACACTGAACGCAAAAATCAACAAAATTTCCCCATTTTAAATTATAATTCGTTTCATATTCTTTAATCCACTAAAAAAGCAAAAAATTAAAATTAAAATTAAATTAAAAGTGAACCTGGTGGTCGTGGGTGCCGCTGCCGATGAGGAGGTTGAAGGGATTGATTTTAGCTTTTTCATTGAAAAGCTGGCTTTCTTCTTTTCCTTGCAAATCGGATTCTATTATGTGTAGCTCTTCTTCTTTTTGTTCCTTCAAAACTTTGTTCAGCATTCGCCTGAGGAGAGGGGAAATGGTTCAGAGCGAGGTGTCTCCATTGCTGCGACCCTGTCCATTGAACTTTTTGCAGTTGCTTTTAAGCTTCGCTCCGTCCCTCTACAAGTCGCATGCCTTCCCCTCACCAAACCCCTCTCTCTCTCCCTCCCCCTCCATCCTTCCCTCTCTCTCCAACTCTCTCCCTCCTTCCTCTCTGCAAGTCGCATGCCTTCCCCTCACCAAACCCCTCTCTCTCTCCCTCCCCTTCCCTCATTCCCTCTCTCATCCTCTCTCCCTCACTCCTCTCTGCAAGTCGCATGCCTTCCCCTCACCAAACCCATATCTCTCCCTCCCCCTCCCTCATTCCCTCTCTCCTCCTCTTTGCAAGCAACATGCATTCCCACCAAATCCCACACCGAGCCATCGATCCCACCGAATGCAACCCTAACTGACAACAATGCCCACCTAACTTGTTCGCTTCAGGAATTCCCGTCGGGCAAGTTTCCTGGTCGGCGAGATGCACAGCTCCCCTGGAGGTTTGGCGTCGGTTGAGGGCTGCTGTCGGGCTTCTGCTTCACGGTTGGGCTCTGTCGGGCAAGTTTCGTCAGGCGAATCTTTATCGGGCAAGACTCGTCGGGCAAGGCTCGTCGGGCAAGGCTGAAAGAGAAGGACAAAGTTAACTTTGAAATGTGCCTTTGTGGGGCCTTAGGTGTAGGCCTTGAGGCTCACAATCAAAATTAACTTTTAGGTGCTCAGGCGTGCCACTGCCATCTTCAGCATGGCAGATATGAAATGGATGTCGAGTTTTAGTTGTATGTATATATATATGTGCCCGAGGAACCGGGTTAGTTATGATAGGTGCCTTTGTGGGGCCTTAGGTGTAGGCCTTGAGGCTTCCCATCGGTTACTAAACCAGTACTCGAATACATAATACTTATTCCATTGATTGCAGGAGTTTTATAACTATTATACTTCTGATTACCTGCGTCCGAGAGATAGAACAAACCCAAATATGTGCCTTTGTGGGGCCTTAGGTGTAGGCCTTGAGGCTTTCTATCAGAATTTGTTCTTTCTACTCAGAACGCTCTAGATCGCAGAACGGAATGAACCCAAATAGGTGCTTTTGTGGGGCCTTAGGTGTAGGCCTTGAGGCTTCCTATCAGAATCCATTCCATGCATAAACGTTCTATGATAATCATCATATAATAGAAATAAAACTAAGTGGTAGGTCGATTACTTGCGCCCCAAGTAACTTTGGACTTCTCGTTTATCAAGGATTGTCGTGGATGGGTTAAGTCCACATAAGGTTCTTTTTTATGCCTTGAGGCCAAGGACTTTTAACTGATCAAATATGCATGCCCGAGGGCTTAGGACTTAGATCTGATTTGAATACTGAAGATCTATTCAAATCGGGTCTATGTACTGAGAAAGCTTTTTAATGGTCATCTTGCTAGAAATAACTTGCATATAACTGGGATCATACAACATATTACTAGGCTTAATGAATGAAAAGACAAAAAATACAAAGCATAGAAGGTCAGGCAAGGTTAAACCTTATCAGGCAAGGCTGCTCGTCTTGCAGGCTCCTATCTTTGTAGTTTTGTTAAAGGTCTGAAAGTTTTGAGAGAGGGAGAGAGATTACAAAAGGTGAATCGATACTACAACAAGGTTGAACAAGGTAGCAGAGCTATTACAAAGGTTTGAAGGAAAGGTTATCCCGCGATGGATGAAGGCTTGGGCTGACTACAGCTTCGTTTTGAAGGCAAATATGGCTTTTGAGCAGAGTTTGTGCTTGCATTTGTTTGTTTGATTGAGTGTCCTTAATCCTGATTTCTCTTTCTTCTTTTATAGACAACCCAGCATGTCCTCCTGTAGCAACAGCCTTGCCCGAATGTGGTTTGAGGGTGATGACTCATCAGCTTTTTTACATGTAATGCCACCATAAAGTACTTTATGGGCTGTGTAGCTGGTCAGTCTATACCACTTGACCTTTGGGTAGGTGGGCAAGTGGTCTTCATGAGCTGCACCAAGTCAGAGGAGACCCTTTCCTGCTTTTCTAGGTCTCGGCTGGGCTTCGGCCGACTCTTCCTTCAGGCCTTCTTTTGGGCCTTCTTTGCTTGGGCCCAAAGTTAAGTTTTGATCCAAACAGTGCCCCCTTCAATTGATATTTAGCCTGGAATTCCAGGCGCCAATATTAATTGAAAAGTTCTTCATGCGGCTGCATCTTTGCCCTTGGAACTTGTGTTTTTTGGATGAAATTAATGGCACCCGGAGTCTCTTGATCTTCCCACGACCTTTGAACTGTCCTCTGGGTCCTATAAATTCTGGCTTGGAACCCCTCCTGTCAAAACCATCTAATCTTCCTCGGAAAAAAAAAAACTGAGAAATGGGTTCTTCAGATTTTGAGTGGAGTTTCCTAAAACTCCCTTTTCGTGAGAAAAAAGGGGGTTTCATCAAATGACTGCTATCTCCAACACCATTGGTCGAACACCCTGCTATCCCCAACACCCTTGGTCAGGCGAGTTCTTCACGAAGGCTTGATTTCCTGCTTGCTGCCGTCATAAGTCAGGCTTCACCATCACATATGGTGGTGGCTCTGTCGGATGATCCTCTACCAAGCATATGTTGGCCGCACAACCCGATCACCTGATCGGGTTCCATCCATGAAGACATCGGAAAACCAGCTGAAGAAATCACTATACTTAGAGAGAATCAAATGTAATATGTAGAAATTGAATCTTTTGTTAATTTCACCAATTTGTCGACATGAAATAAAAATTATTTCAGCAACTTTTGTCTTTTTGTTTTCTTTGAATGGTTGATGAACAAACACTGCATATGAAACTCCCGACGCCTGCTTTACTTTGCCCCCTCTTCAATGTAACAATCTCTAACATCCCATAATGTAGGACAGTATTTCTTTAAGAATTTAACATTAATGGGATGTTTCTGCCCATTTCCTTCGAGGTATGCTAGGTAGTATCCTCCTTTATTCAAAACTCGACTAATAATGAAAGGACCTTCCCATGTCGGGCTCCACTTTCCAAAGCCCCTGAGCTGAGCTCCTAGCGGGATGACTGTTTTCCACACTAAATCTCCTTCTTTGAAAGACTTTATCTTCACCTTCTTGTTATAAGCTCGGGCAACAACTTTCTTTCCTTCTTGAATCTGGTTCAAGGCTTCAATTCGGGCTACATCCAAGTCTTCAATTCCTTGACACATGGCTTCGATGTATTCTTCACTATGTAACCCAAATTGGTTCTGAATTCTGACCGAACTTACATTGATCTCCATAGGGAGTACCGCATCTTGCCCGAAAGTTAAAGCATAAGGAGTTGTCCCTGTTCCTGCCCTCTTGGAAGTTCTGTATGCCCACAAAGTGTTCCCCAGCCTTTCATGCCACTTTTCTGGACTATCTACCACCATTCTTTTGATGATGTTGACCAAGATCTTGTTGCTGGCCTCTGCTTGGCCATTTGATTGAGGGTAGTATGGACTGGATTGGATCATCTTTATTTTGTACTTGCTTGCAAACTCCTCAACTTCTTTTGAGATAAAAGATGGCCCACGATCCGTTACTATAGTTTCGGGCACCCCATACCTGTGCAGAATCTTGGTCTCGATAAAATTCTTGACCTCGGCCGAAGTTATGGATTTTACTGTTGATGCTTCCACCCACTTGGTGAAGTAATCCGTTGCCACAATTATGAAAGTGTGCCATTTACTAGAAGCTGGATAGATTTGCCCGATGAAGTCCATTGCCCATCCTCTGAAAGGCCAAGGCTTGACTACTGGATTTAAAGGTACTGAGGGCACATGCTGGAGAGGTCCGTGCCGTTGACATTCTTCACAACCTTTGGCATAAGACTTGCAATCTTTTTCCATGTCGGGCCAGAAATAACCATATCTTCTAAGCAACCACCTCATCTTAGTTCCTGCCTGATGTGCTCCACATACCCCTTCATGTACTTCGGCCATTACCCTCATGGATTCTTCTTGGCCCAAGCATTTCAATAGTAATCCATCTGGAGTTTTCCTTAGCAAGTTCTTCGCCCACAAGACATACTTGGTTGCTTGCTGTCTATTCTTCTTGCTTGTAGGTGAAGAGGGATCCTTCAAATGACGAATGATAGGGGACCTCCAATCTTCTATTTCGGTTTCTAGAGCTATTACATCCAGGCTGAATCCCCTTTCTAAGATAGAAGGGAGGTTCCTTCTTTGGATCTCGACATCTACCCCATATCTTCTCTCCTGTATTGGCACTCCTGAGGCTAGTTGTGCCATCTCGTTGGCTGCTAAGTTGGATTCCCTGGGAACATGATTGACTGATATCTCAGAATCCCAGAAACTCAGTAATTGCGTAGCCGTCAAGTAATATCCTGCCATGGTAATATGTCTGCACTTGAACTCCCCATTTAGCTGGTTTATTACTAACTCTGAATCTCCAAAGATCTCCACCTCTACTGCCCCCAGATCCATCAAGATTTCCAGACCAATTATCAAAGCTTCATACTCTGCCCGATTATTAGTATTTCCTTGGTAGTCTAGGAGGAATGAATAATAATGATAGACCCCATGAGGGTTTATAATCACAATCC